GGCCTAATCAAATGAAGGATCAATGAAGACATCCTTTACAATCATTTAAGCAAATTATAGTTTTTATTTTTCAGATATAATTGTAACATAGGTATACTTTCTATAATGAAATGTAACTAAAGAAGAACAAAACATAACATTTAGTGCACACATTACAGTACATAGTGGCCAATTGTGGTCAGACTGGTCACCACTATGTGAAAAAAAAATTTAGCTATAACGAGTATTCATCATGTGTGGTTACTGGTTTTATGTAATTTAAATATTCATACAAACACACATTTTATTTCTGTAGTTCTCAAAATCCATATACTGTATATTGCTGAAATGAAAATCTATAGGTTTACCAAATGATTAATTGATTAACCATTAAGATCTGTTGGATTAAATAATAGACAAAAGTATTAAACTGAACAAAAAGAGATGCAAATCAAAAGTTTGATAGTAAGAGCTTTATGAAAGGCAGTTACTGTGAATGAAACAATAATGTAGATGAAACACTTATTTTGTGTTGTGAAAAGGATACTTTGTGATTGTGTGAATTGTACTAACACAGTTGAAAACATGATGAAATGTTTGAAAAAAGTGCACTTTTGATGATCTGTTGTGATATTAGCACTAAGAGTTTTGAAAATGTACACCTTACTTGTGAAAATAGTACCAAAGCGAATAAAAAAAACTGTAACCAAAAGTGACAGTTAAGACTTCTATAAAGTTATAAAATATTTCAATTTCATTCGTTCAACTTATTATTCATTAAATAATCATGAAGAAAATGTATCATGGTTTCCAAAAAAGGCAAGGCAAGTTTATTTATATAGCACATTTCATACACAATGGCAATTCAAAGTGCTTTACATAGAAGAAATTAAAATAATCAAAAGAAATCAGAATAATTAAAACAGTTTAGAATAAAAAAAAAATAATAATAAAATAAAATAATAATAAAATACAGTAAATTATTAAAACAATTTAGAATCAAAAATAAAATAAAAAAATTAAGCAGTACAACTGTTTTCAACATTGATAATTATAATAAATGTTTCTTGCATATCAGCATATTACAATGATTTCTTATAGATGATCATGTGACACTGAAGACTGGAGTAATGATGCTAAAATTTCAGCTTTGTCGTCACAGGAACAATATTGCTGTTACTGGTCTCAGATATCAACCTTAAGATTTGGAATCATTTCCTTGCTGGTTGCACACAACAACAGAGACCAATACAGTCCTGTTCATGAGCGGATAGCTACAGTATTATGAACTATTTTTTAAAGGAATTGGTCAAAAAGGCAAATCAGACACAAAGTTATTCGTTTGAAGCGACTCACTCGCTCATTTACTAAATCATTCAGAATGTTTCTTCACTAAACCACAATCTGACCATTCAAGTCCTTACTATTCCCATTTACTCCCACTCTAATGAACAGCATCAGATGCAGCCAAATGTATCGTCATAAGCGCAATCTGTTTAGATGTCTTTTTTTTTTTTTTAAGATTTCTTACAAACCCCTTCATCTTTGTAGATGTTACGAACTGCTCCGAGACTTGGAGATGAAGATCCAAATGCAGCTTTATTTAAGATTAGTCGTACAGGCAGGGTCGAGAATCAGCAGACAGGACAATGGAGAATACACAATGGGAATCCAAGAAGCAGGCAGAGGTCAGGGCAGGCAGCAATAATCAGAATCCAAGAACAATCCAAAAATCAAAAACCAGAAACCAAACACGGAAAAACGCTCAGAAATGCAGTGTAACACTTAAACAAGACTTCGCAAACACTGAACGTGAACACAAGGTATATATAGACACACTAACAGGATGAGACACAGGTGAATGCAATCAGTGAATGAGGTACAGGTGAATGTGATCAGTGATGAGTCCGGGCAGTGAGTTCTGGGAAATGTAGTTGTGAGGGAAACATGAACATCTGGTGTGGAGTGCCCTCTGGTGACTCTCAAGGGCACTCCACCTGGTGACCGTTACAGTAGACCATTGGAGCACAAGGAACGTCCCACACCTTCAATCCTAACATAAGTGATTTATTTCTGTTTGAATGACCACTCAGGAGTGCCCCATGTCTCACAACCGTGTTTAATGAATGCACAGGTCGGACTCCATGTGTCTGCACACAGGAGCTCTTGTGTGTGTTCCTCAGCGGACTGCAGTACCTGTGGTGTGGTCGCAGTAATGAGAGCAGTTCAGCGCTCCACGTCTCTCATTACAAGACTAGTCAATCTGAGAGCTTGTATAGTCTCTCTCTCTCTGCCCCTGATGGCCATCACTCACAGCAAAACCACAGAGACAGGCCTGAATTTACCTTGTCTGCACTGGGATCTACAGCTACACAGACCCTATCTTGTCTGGGCGCTCTTTTTCTTAAGATTATTTTTCTGATAATTATTATTCCAAATTAAACATGATTTAATGACTCGTAAATGACTCGATTTATATAGTTTTTACCTCTTGTAACCACAGCCACGTCCAAGTGATCTGAAGGCACGGGCTCTTCAGTCTGCGCATTGCCGGAAAGCGGCGGAAGCGATCTCTTGCGCGGTTGCGAAAAAAAATCAACGTTGTCTGTTGATATATAAAAATTGTCTTTCCTGTATATCTAAATATGTTTAGATCTTCACAAGAGAAGGGAAACACTTCTGAAATCACAATGAGTGACGTACATGCACGAGAGATCACTTCCGGGGCTGGCGCCTGCGCAGAGAGAAGCGCCCTCGCCCTCAGAGTACTTGGACGTGACTGTGATTATTATAAGAGGTAAAAACGATATAAATACTGTTCGTTTTCTCACACAAACCGCTCGTTTCGTTTAATTTTAATTCTCTGTGCATGCTCTTTGAGGTGAACCCCATAGACCTCCATTATATGACTGACAGACAAGAACGGTTTGATCTAAAAATATCAAAATTGAAAATACTATGGAAACAAAGACACCTACATCTTGGATGTCCTTGACGTAAGCTAAAACATACCAAAAATTAATTTCAAAGTGAACTATCCCTTTAAGGCCTGATGTAAAAAGCCATAAGACTTCCTGTTAGCATAATCATTCACTGGGGAAAAAGTGGTAAAAACTTAATTAAAAAAAAAAAACTTTCAAAAGGTGTGCACTTCAGGTAATAATATGTACCTTTAAGATACTAATGTGCACCCTAAATAAAGTACAATGGTGCACCTTTTGAAAAAGTACCGCACCAGTGAGTGTTTGTAATTTATTTTATACGAGAGTGATAGAAAAGTCTCTTATGCTCATTAAGGCTGCATTTATTTGGTCAAAAATACAGTGAAAACAATAATATTGTGAAATATTATTATGGTGATGAATATTTTAAAATGTTATTTATTCTTGTCATGATAAATCGGACTTTTCAGCATCATTAGTCCATTTTCAGTGTTTCAGTCTGTTACACGTTGTAAATTCATTTTCTTTTATTATCCAAAAAGCGCTAATAATTCTTCATTCCCCTCTGGAACTATGTTGAAGCTTTTTCAAATCTGATTATACACTTGTAAATTGACAACAAACATTGCTGGAGTTTGTTCTCAGTAGTTCATGCACTGTTGTAAGAATGTGTCCCTCAGCTGTGAAGTGGTAGCAGTGCTTGAGATTCCTTAGGGAGGGCGATAATTGGCAGGAAACATGAGAAGATCTGGCAACTCTGACAGCTGGGTCCCATCAGATGGCCATGAAGAATGACTTTTTCTGATACTATTAATGAACATACACTTAGAAAAAAAACCCAGCACAGAATCATAGTAATTTCTGTAAAAAAAAAAAAAAAAAGTGCTTTTTATTTGTAATCACAACATTTTTTCTTTTGTCAGATCAACTTAAGGTTCAGAAAACATAATATTTTGAGTTTCTGATGATTAAATCAATCTCCCTCATTGTATTAACTCAATTTTTCTATTTCAATGAACTTAAAATTTTAAGGCAACCAGGTTACTTCATTTAAGTTAACCAACAATATTTTTTTACTCTTAGAAGAAATGGTTCTATTTAGAACCAGAAATGGTTCCATCCCCCACTTCATATATGGAACTACAAAATGGTTCTATATAGAACCATTTTTTTTTTGGTAAAAGGTTCTATTGGCCAAGTACGGAATCTATATAGAATTTGGAACCCCTAAAAGGTGTATAGAACCTTTTAGGGGTTTCAAATACGTAGCGCTTATAGAACCTTTTAAGGTTCTATCTAGAACCTTTTCTTTGAGTGATTTACACTACTGTTTAAAAGTTTGGTGTCGGTAAGATTTTCTCTGTTTTTAGAGGTAGCTTTTTTTCAGATGTATCTTTTGGTTTGTGCAAAAACCCCATCAGTCAACGGTGAACAGTTACTTGAGCTCATTATTTGATATCTATGACGTCGATGATAACATATACACCTTTAAGGAGGTTGCTCTGATCTCCGCTGTTTCTCCTATCATTTTCACAGGTGACGTTCACGAAGAGGAAGTTTGGTCTGATGAAGAAGGCGTATGAGCTCAGTGTTCTCTGCGACTGTGAAATAGCCCTGATTATCTTCAACAGCTCCAACAAGCTCTTCCAGTACGCCAGCACGGATATGGACAAAGTCTTGCTGAAATACACAGAATACAATGAACCACACGAGAGCAGAACCAACTCTGACATTGTGGAGGTAAGTGTGGCTACACAGTTCAAAAGCTAAATTAAATGAAATTGACTGAAAAAGATTTTAAAGTCGGCATGAAATGGAATTTGCGGTAGTCTTTTCTTCCCTATTGTGAAGTACTGTATATCCGAGCGAGTGAAACAGCTTCTCAAACAAGAACAAATGTAGGGCGGGACTAGACTTTATCCGTTGAGAATTGATTGGCTGGTTTGGTAATGCAGTTAACAAACAGTTGTGTCTGCATCTCGAGTAATTTTAGATCATGGTCTTCTGTGAGGCATGTGCTCAAATGACATCTTCATTGTCTCATGCATTTGCTCCATTTACAATCAACATGTGAAGCTAGCCAAGGCTGCTCTGTGCTTTTCCTTTTGTTAAGATTTATTTATAGAAGCTTTCATCCAAAGCAACTCATACACTATCAGTAAAAAGTTTGGAATAATTAATATTTTTATATATATATATTTTTGAGAGTCGCTTATGCTCACCAAGGCTGCATTTATTTAAACCAAAATACAGTAAAAACATTATATTGTGAAGTATTATTACAATTTTAAAGATTATTTTTCTATTTGAATATATTTTAACAACTCATGTCTTTAGTGTCAGTTTTTTTGTGTGTGTAATGTTTTTGTGGTCACTGATAAAAAAAAAATCAGGATTGAATGAACAGCATTTATTTGATATAGAAATCTTTTTTTTTTCCACATTATACATGTCATTACTGTCACTTTTGTCTTTTGATGGGAGACTTAAAAAAAAATAAAAATATTGCAAACTTTTGACCAGTAAGTCTGGTAGTGTGTACATTTTTTGTCTTAAATTACCAAATTATTCTACATGCAATATTTGTTGTGATTGTAAATTCTATTGAGATGGTGAATGTGTTCAGTGTCTAGCTATCTGTAGCTAAAGTCATGTGAACAGATTTTCTGCGAGTGGTGCTAATTGGTTGTAGCTAAAAATAAAGATCTAGTCTTATCCAACATTCATACCGAGGAAACCTGAGATACTATCAGTCAAGGACATGGCACTTTTGGCAAGCGCTGCACCCGTTAGCGTCTATTAACGCTATCGCTTCAGTGTACTGGGAATGCATTTCTGAATCAAAGTTATGTGTTCTGGTCTCACATTAGCATACCCTATTGTTTTACAGTATATTTGAATGCAAAATGTAGTATAGCTATGAGCTTTTATTTGAAATTCTGTCAAGATAAGGAGGCTATCTTGAAGTTGAAGAAAAGTAATAAACCTAACAAATTCGAAATGTAAGAATTTAGCTTTTTGCCTCCTGCTTTTCATGTGTCTCTCCTTTATAGTATACCAGAAGATTTCATTTCGATTTCTCAGTGATTATTGTGTATTTATCAACTTTTATTGGAGGTTTACAATTGGAGGACCCTTTCACATTGATTACTTAATGACTAGACCGAAAGTGGTCATGAAATGCATTAACTTCTCCAACGGAGTCGGTTATGATGATTTGATTGTGGCAGATCCTGTCAAATCAGTCATTGCAATATTTATTTATTTATTTATTTATTTTGTGTGTGTGTGTGGGGGGGTTATTTACTATTAAAGCATAGATTTGTTTTCCAGATTAATAGAGAGTCAGAATCTCTTAGGTGGACTCTTGAAGTCATTGTTGTAATATAAGCCCAGTTCACAGAGTTACAGCATTACAGACACCTGAGGATGAGATAAGCTTCTGACTTCCATTCATTCATTCTCATAAGGGCTCTTAAACTGCTACAAGAGGGTCCTTAATCTACTGTCCTGCATTTACACTAATGTTCTGTAACAGGTCTGAAAATATTCTGCATCGACTGAATACCTGTACTCATTTCACGTTATTCTTTGCTGTTTTCTACAGGTGCTGAGCAAGAAGGAACACAGAGGTTGTGACAGCCCAGATCCAGAATCTTCTTATGTCCTCACGCCTCACTCAGAGGAGAAATATCAGAAGATTAATGAAGAGTTTGACAATATGATGAGGAATCATAAAATTGTAAGCAAAGTGTGATACGTGGGTTTTTTTAGTTCTTCATGACATCTCTGTTATGTACACTACCTTTGAAAAGTTTGGGGTTGTAAAAATGTTGTTTATTCCAATGTTTTTGAATGTCTTTGAAAGCCTTGTTCCAACCATCAAGAACATCCTAGCAACCACTTATGGTATGTAGAGACCATAGACTGTAAAAAATATGGACAACGCGTCTGTTACGTCACCCATAGACTTTCTGAAGAACGGGTTTGAGGCTGTTTATGGGGGTATGGACGGCGCCATACTGGAAAATCTTGGGAAATACAAAATACAAATGTTCAGAAAGGATACAGAGTTGGTATGATGTGTTGTGTCATGGCCGAGACGTCAAATGGGCTTTATGCCCAGCTGCACTACTTCCTGAACGTCAGCCAGCTCCTTGTTTCCTGTCTGCCATTATTGGTCAAATTGATTAATTCAGGTGTGCTTGACCTCAGTAGTCATGGCAACAATAATCAGACACACCTGAATTAATCAAGTTCGGCCAATAATGGGAGACAGGAAACAAGGAAGTAGTGCAGCTGGGCATAAAGCCAATTCCACTTGGCGCAGCCCGTAATCAGCTGTCAATCAAAGTTAACCGCCCTTATTTGTCATACATTTTATATCTAATTACGATCTAAACTAACGAGTTAGAAAAAAATTCACCCCCCTCACAGTTGTCAGGCACGAGGAACATATTGAAGATTACAATAAAAGTCCATTAGGACCAAACTGTAAACATATGAATTTATGCTGTGAAAACGGATATTTTAACATGGGGTATATGGACATTTGCTCCCTTTTGGGACCGCCCTCTAGCGGATTTTAGATGTATTGCAGTTTATCGCACTTCCAGGTAGGCTTCATTTTTCAGATTAGAATGTTGCCGCTTGGTAGAGAGACCCACTTAAAAGCAGCCCCCCTTTATAGGAATCATGTCCCTTTAGTGACGGTCCTGCATCCAGAAAGGCATAGCAAATAAAATTCTTTTATTATTATTATCATGATTCTAATTTGAGAAAAATTGGAAATGTTTTCTTGTTTAAAGGCACAATATGTAGGATTTTTTGGATTAAAATATCCAAAAACCAAACAATGTTATATATTTTGTTGACTTGTGTACTTCCAACAATGTTTAAAGTCCCCCTGTAGTCGGTCATTTTAGTCTTTAAAACTCATCTTTGATCACCAAAATGTCATATTTAAACATTAAAAATTTGTCATGCATTAAAATAGCTTGACTTGAACTCTACTACACCCTCGCCTCCTGTAGTATACGCGGTTCTATGAATATGTAAATTAGCCCCACCTCCACTCACTCACACCTGCTCACTCGTTGACGCTCACACGTTGATCTGATCGGTTACAAGGTAGATTGTGACGTCAGAAACACCAGCGATTTCAAACCGTGCTTTTGAGACTGTCTTTGGTTCACTGCAGTTTTAAAGAGTAAATACTAAGCAATGGTGTCGACTGATGAATTTGCTCATGGTTTGTCCTAAAGCATATTAAAAACACTACATAGACATATAAACAACATTAGAAGCTTGATTTTCACCACAAGGGGGACTTTAAATTCAGAGAAATCAGCTATTTTAACCAGTGTAACGGCCCGTGTCAGTGACGTCATTGATTTCCAGCAAAACACCTTTACTCTATTTTGTCAACTGGCTAACATAGCAAAAATCAGAAAGAGTTGTATTTGTAGTAACAGCAATACACCATTTTCTCCACCATATAATATGTTTTAAAAGTAGCTACATGCCATTTAGCTACACAAGTCATCCAGCTTTTATTAATATGATATTCTAATATCGATCTATCTTATTGCAGTGTGAACTGGTGTCTCATGAGCGAACGCACAGAGTAACTTTAAAACTTTCAACACACTCAAATGTATTTTAGTACGATTGTTTTGACCAAAATAGATAATTCAATAAAATTAATAAATAATAAATTTATAATAATAAATTGAATAAATAATACATTTTATTAAATAAATAAATTAATAAAATAGCCATAAACAACAATACAAAGGTGGTGAAACTTACAAACTGTGCCTTTAATCGAACTTCATCCCTGGACGTCTCTCTTAATATTGTCTCCATCAGCCGGCTGCTTTGGGTCACCAGAGTTACTCCATGCCTTTGACTTTGCCCGTCGCCAACCCCACCACCTCCTACAGTACAGACAGCTCACTGGACACCCCAGTGTCCCTCAGCGGGGCGAACATACTGTCTCTGTCCTCCAACGGCTTCCAGAGCACCAACAGCACTGCTGTCATGGGTCAGGATCTACACCATTAACATACATTTTTTTTAATGCAATGCCATCATAATGCTGTGGTGTTCGATGTTAATTCCAGTGAGATTTTGAGGTAGTTTTGAATGCCTGTGGTTGATGATTCATTTTTATATGGTAAATATCAAAATTGCTTTGGTTCATAGTGTTTATGTCTTTAAGGAACTATAATCAGTCTTGTATATTTTGAAATGAAACATTAATGTGTGTCTTTAACAGGTTTTATTTCTTTGATTATTTTATGTTTAGATGGTTCCTCAGACGTCCCACTTCCAAATGGTGTGCACTCCAGTCATGTGGGTAGGTGCTTTTTCGGTTAACTTATACAATGTGACTGACCGTGATGATACATTTCCACCAAGTAACGGTTTGTTTAAAGAACTGTGCTGTGCAATTATATTTACATAAAAATCATCCACATGTCATAAATGTTTCTTAAAGAGCAGGATTTGTATTTTGTAGACAGATTTATTGTATTATCAGCATGAAGCCATCAAATTTTCACTATACTGTACTTGTTCTTAACCATCTATGAAAGTTTGTTAATACCTGGTGTGGGCAGGATGTGAGGTCACAACCTCATGGAAGTTGATTTCTTTATCCAGTTCTTCCGGCGTTCCTGAGGCCATTTTTCTGTGTTAATGAAATACTCCAGTTTAAAGACAAGTGAAGCTCTTTATATGCTGTCAATTACCATAGAAAACAATTCAGATTTTTTCCTGATAAAAAAAAAAAAAATGTTCTTTTATTTAGCAATGATGCATCAAAGTAAAGACATTTATAAGAATTGTATTTAAAATAAATGCTGTTCTTTTGAAATTTCTTTCAAACAAATGATGCAGCAAGTCAGCATAGGGTCATGTGACATGCAGTAATGATGCTGAAAATTCAGCTTTGCATCACAGGAATAAATTACATTTTAAAATATATTCAAATACAAAACGCGTATTTTATATTGTAATAATATTTCACACATCTTTTTTTGCTAGAATAATTGCAACCTTGATAAACCTCTTTCTTTTTTAATTTTGAGACTTCTTTCAAAAATAATAGAAACATAATCTGACTATGTTACTACATTAGCTATGCTAACCAATAACTATGTTAACCTACACTTCACTCATACTTGTAATAATGTCCCTTTTTATTGTGCCTTATATTCAGCCAATGGCTTCGTCGGTGGCTCGGAAGGAAGTAGAATGGGAAAAGTCGTTTCTGCGAAACCTCAAGGCTCGTCTTCAGTGGGCCTCAAACCTGATCTGAGAGTCCTCATTCCTCCTGCGTGCAAGAGCAGCGCTTCTTCCCTGGTGAGAGATGCTTTATCTGCCATGATGTGTCAAAGAAACATCCTGAAATCATTAGACAATGAGAGAGTATTGACCTGCCTGAAACGCCCCTTAAATCTTTTTCTTGCAAGCTGCCAGAAGAAGGAGAGGAGCATTTGGTATCTGATCATGTTTTATTCAGATCAGCTTTTAAAAATTGACTTATTATCGAGGACTAGGTCATGAAAATTAGAAGAAAATCACTTTTATTCCAGCTGCCTAGTGTTTATCATTTACATGCTTTGAGGCCATCTAGTGGTTCTTTGACACATTACAGACAAAGCTTTAATTTTTTTACAAGTTTAACTGAAAAACACAGATTATTTGGACACTTAAGACACATCTATCTATCTATCTATCTATCTATCTATCTATCTATCTATCTATCTATCTATCTATCTATCTATCTATCTATCTATCTATCTATCTATCTATCTATCTATCTATCTATCTGTCTGTCTGTCTGTCTGTCTGTCTGTCTATATATAGATCCATCTATTTGTCTATTTACTCTATCTATCTATCTATCTATCTATCTATCTATCTATCTATCTATCTGTCTGTCTGTCTGTCTGTCTGTCCTGTCTGTCTGTCTGTCTGTCCGTCCGTCCGTCCGTCCGTCCGTCTATAGATCCATCTATTTGTCTATTTACTCCATCCATCCATACATCCATCCATCTGTCTATTTGTCTTTTTACTCTGTCTGTCTGTCTGTCTATCTATAGATCCATCCATCTATCTATCTATCTATCTATCTATCTATCTATCTATCTATCTATCTATCTATCTATCTATCTATCTATCTATCTATCTATCTATCTATCTATCTATCTATCTATCTATCTGTCTGTCTGTCTGTCTGTCTGTCTGTCTGTCTGTCTGTCTGTCTGTCTATTTTGGTTACATTTTGCAAAACAGTGATGCATAATGAACAGTGATGTATCATAGATAATGAATACTGACTAATGAGTATAGATTGAATATAATTTTGTTGTTGTTGTCTGTAAATATCTTCCACCATTCCACCATTTCCATTTAAACCTCAGAGAATAGACAATTCTCAGTCCAGCCAATCACTGGCCACACCTGTGGTATCCATGGCAACCCCAAGTCTGCATCCCCAGGGCTTTGTGTACTCAGCCATGACCTCATCATTCAGTACAGGTATATTATTGACCTAAACATAATAAATCATCTAATAACACCAGGTGTTGTTCCCCTGGACCTCATATCACTACAACAGACTATTTTACTATTGAACTCTTTCATTCCGTACAGATTTTGCCTTAAGCAGTGCAGAGGCCAGTTCTTTACACGGCTTCGGTTCATCAGACGATGTCACATCCGGTCCAGGGTCTTCATGGAAACTCAGCCAACATAGTCAGCCAGGGTTCAGTTCTCAGAGGTGAGAACATGACATAGAGGTGTGATGCCACAATGTGATCCATTTTAGGCATGATTTTCCGTCATTCACCCAAAGTGTTAAAGGGCACCTATTATGCTATATCCTATAACAAGATGTGAAATAAGTATCTGATGTCTCTAGGCCTAAAGTGTGAATGTGAAGTTTTTGTATAAAATACTCCACAGATATATATATATATATATATATTTTAGCATGTTAAAACTGGGGGGTGAGCAAAAACGCAACTTTTCTGTGTGTGTCCCTTTAAATGCAAATGAGGTGCTGGATCATGACAGTTGGTACTGATCCATCCGCGAATAAAAACTTTTTAGCAAAGTCGTTCACAAAGCAGTCTGAAGTGAAATGATTTCCGCAGACATAAACAAATTTAGTTGGGCCTATATTTTGCGAAGCATTACCTTTAAAAAATGTCGGATAGCGTAAAACTCTGGGATTGCTTGAGTGTGGTGAAGATGTCGGATAGCGTAAATCCAGAGCCCGTATAACGGAGAGCCTTAGCACTTCCTATTAGCCCCATTGTGTATCCTCTTGGTTGCAGTTCCATTAGAATTCCACTGGAGGTGATCGCGGCCGAGTGCAGAATGAATGGGAGTCTATGGAGCTAAACTGCTAAATGTGTCTCTTTCTCCTGCTTGTCGTTGAATCAACATAGATTTTATTGTTGATTCTGCAAGTTTAATATAGATTATACGCCAAAAGTCGAATAAACAAGTGAACAGGAAATTGGCAAATCAGTCTTTTGTCATTCAAGAGAAGAAGAGTTGAAAAATCTGAAAAAAGTTGACATTTTTCACTTAAAAAAGTGAAAGTGGAGTTATTACATCTGTTCCGAGGTGTAAAACCGGTTTAAGCAGTTTTGCCATTCTTTCAGTAGCAACTTTCTTTTTCTCTTTTATTCAAAAGTTTTTAAAAAAAGCCTGACCTTCTTAAACTGGTCGGTAAGATTTTTTTATGTTTAATGAAAGAAGTCTCACCAAGACTTCTCATCAAGGCTACGTTTATTTGATCAAAAATATAGTAAAATTGTGAAATATTTTTGCAATTTAAAGTAACTGTTTTCTATTGAAATGTATTTTAGAATGTAATTCATTCTTGTGATGCAAAGTCTTCAGTGTCACATGATCCTTCAGAAATCCTTCTTATAAGATGATTTGCTGCTCAGGAAAAAAAATCATATTATTATCAGTATTGAAAAACACTGCAGTATTTTTGTGGAAACCCTGATACATTTCTCCCTCCAAGAAAATTTGAAATCGAACATTGCAAGTGTCTTTACTCTCACTTTCTATCAATTCAATACATTCGTCATGAATATTTTCTTTTTTAACTACCGAAACCTTTTTAATGGTAGTGTAAATACTGATAACCATCCTTGTTATCTCTAGAACCACACAACCTCAAGTTCAGGCCTCTGACTCTTCTGCCGCCTCCATCAGCATCAAATCCGAGCCCGTGTCCCCCCCCAGACACCCGCTGTACCCCACCATCCACACCAGGCCGCGGCCCAACTCCACACAGGAAGTGGGCCGTTCTCCTGCCGACAGCTTCAGCTCTTCTGTGAGCTCAAATGAGGGCAGTGACCGCGAGGACCAGCGACTGGACTCGCACACGGCCACCGCTACATCAGCACAGGGCTCTAGATCATCGCCAGAGATGGAGAACTCAGTCAAACGCATGCGCACAGACAGCTGGGAAACTTCACAGTGATTGGCTCTTTAAACAAGCCGACAGATATGCAGACTGCTGCTCTATCACGTTTTGTGCAACAAACAATGCGAAGACGCTTTTAAAGCAGCTGTAAATGTGTGCAGGTGTTTGTATTGTTGTAAAATGTACATTTTCATATTGTTAAAGATCTAAGTTATGAAGTGTCTTAAACTTATTTTTTTGTCAACAGAGGATTAGCCTTGCTGCATTATTTGCAGTATATTGTTTTTACAAGTGTGTTTTTTTTAATCTTTTGTGTTTTTATCTGAATCCTCAATCAAAAGCGTATAAATATTGATTGGGAGTTGCTATTTAGTGTATGTGTTTGATGCCCTGGGGATCAGATTTTACAGGACATTTGATTTGTTTGCGGTTTTTTTTGTGCTACGGGCACAGAACTGTTTGAAATAGGAAACTTATAAAACCTCAGTGGAGGATTTACTTGTCTGTCAAGTTTTAGATGAATCTCAGGTATCTGCATTTTCAATCATCAACAGTCGGTCAAATGACACTTTCAGATATCTCAAGATTTGTGGAGAAAAGATGATCAAATGTCCCACCAAGGCCTATTAACACCCCTAGAGGAGGATAAAATGAGCTAAAATCATAAAATTGCCTTTCTTAAAACCACAATCCCTCTGTAAGAGAACGCAGTTTAAAAATGTCAATTTTGAAGATAATTCGAAAACTATTTAGTGAATTAGATGTTTAATATAATTTATATAATGTAGGAAATACTGTCACTTTAAATACCCTGTATTTAACAAGCATTTAAAAATATATACACAATATTTAAATATGTTTTTATTAGGGCTGTAAAATGATTAATCGCGATTAATCGCATCCAAAATAAAAGTTTGTTTTTACATAATATATGTGGGTGCACTGTGTGTAATTATTTTATATATATATATAAATACACACACATGCTTGTATATATTTAAGGAATATTTTCATGTATATACTGTATATAGATTTATATATAATTTATATTATATATAAATATAAATATTTTATATATAAATAATATTTTTTTCTTAAATACATATGTGTTATTTATATATATACAAAATAATTATACACAGTGCACCCACTTATATTATGCAAACACAAACTTTTATTTTGGATGCGATTAATCGCGATTAATCATTTGACAGCCCTAGTTTTTATCCTTTATTCAGACTCTGCTGAATGTAAAGGAACAGTTGAGCATCAAGTCCTTTTACTAGTTGTTATGTGAACATTGAGCCCACTGTCTCCCATGAGATGATGTTTAGACATTTGCGGCTAGATGTTTTCCTCTTTACTGATTCAGTAAATATTCTTACATGCCATACAAACTCATTACACACTTGATGTCAATGCAATCTATGGAACTCCTACTGGTTGTGTAATTTTGTTCACAAATCAAGATGCTGACCCCTTTATTGTTTGTACACCATGATAAATGGCAATAAACATCATGTTAATCAGCTCTGTCGCTTTTATACTTTTCATGTATATAATTATTAACTAGGTTGTTTACTTCTGTTGAAGGTTGTTTAACAGGATGTGAATTCTTTGATGATGTTTGAGTTTTTTTTTTTTTTTTTGAGTGATCAGAACAAACTACCTTTGCATTAACACATTATTTCTGCATGAACTTATGCGTTACATTTAATATAGGCTATACATACATATGGATTCAGTCAGTAATGTATTGCATCAGTTGCAAAGAAGATTAAGTCAAATTTGTCTTTTAGCTGATGCTTTTCTTATTACAATATGTGTATTCAAGTGACCTTACATCTGGATCAACCTGAAGGCCAAGTGCCCAAAAATATATAATGATGACCTACTATCAATTAATCCATAAAAAACTAACTAAACTAATTTTATTTATCCATTATTCCTTCTTGGGGCAATTTTTGTTTGCAGATTTTATAGCACTGAGACAGATGTTGATTGTCAGTAGCCTATAGAGAAAACATGCAACACGTCCCAGTTAATGATAACCTTATTTCACAAATGATTGACAGCAGCCAGACTACTGTGAGACACTCAAAGGATTACAATTTGAACCATGAGACTGACAGATTACAGTAGCCTTGTATTATATGGGCCAAAGAACGAACCCGTTGGGCGGCAAATAACTATTTTCAAAGGGACAATAAGTCCCAGTTCCTCCAGGGGGTGCTTGGTGGCTCAGAACGCCGAATTCTCCATTGACATCCATTCAAATCTCAAGTAGCATTTTTATCTTTTCTTGAGAAATGTATACACTTACAATCATAATCGTTTCAAATTTTGCTTTAAATGTATACATGGCTCAAAATTAAAAACGCATATCATCAATTTATTTAAAATAGTTAAGCCATTGATCACAAATTGTGATTGGTCGGTCCTGACAGAGCTGAGAAAAGTAACAGGTGTCGCGTGACAACGCTGTGAACGTTGTGAAGACTTTAAAGGGACTTTTACACTTATAATAAGTAATGGCACTGAGAAACGTTTAATAGTGATTAAATTCGCAATAAATAGTCATGTTAACCTATTTGTTTTTTGGACGCCAGCTATCCTGACCAAATAAGGACAACTTCCGGGCTGTTGTTGACACATGATAATTGCCGTTCCACTCGTTGTATTTCTGTAACTCATCAGTGAAGTGTTGGCGCTTTACTCATGTTACTCGTACTAGAGTCGGAAGTTAGTGAAAGTACTGCTGTGAACACATGAGATTTGACCCCAAACGTCTTTGGTTTAAAGGAAATGGATTAAACGCAGCAACTCAGGTAGGAATAATTCTGATAGGGATTTATTCAAATTATTATATATACATTCAAATGAATAACCGAAATGTTTGAAGACCATCTACCTGTTGGGACTGTCCCACAAGTAAATCTAGCTGCATTTGATTTGTATACCTTAATTGTTGGCACTTTAATGCATGTGCTTCAGCTACCTGTTTCATAACAAGTATGCATATTTTTGGTTGTCACTTTGTAGACAGTAATAGATCCTTTACATTGTTTGAGTTGTGGGAGGGACAATGTATCTAATAATTATATTGTCATCAGTAGGAGAAAATAATGTTGTGCTATGTGACATGCAGCTTTCTTTTTGACATTTTTCTTTTTTTTGTGAGTTTAAAATAGAGTTGAAATTATCTTAGAGTTGCCTATCCCCTTTTTACATAACACTGGAACCGGTTTCTCATGTAAAGTTATTATTAAGTCCTTGGGCATTCATTTTTCTAAATGTGTGGAAACCAAATAGATTGATAGACAGAAAGACAGATATATTCTATAAAACATTTGCAATTACACATCAATTGTGGATTTTGGCCTGAATTCACTAGGATTTCTTTCTCTTTATCTTAATCCCATTATTTACAAATTTTCTAAAATCTAGGCCCAAAATATAAACATAGCAACCATACGGGGAGGAAGCTCAACAAACTCAGATGTGAGTTGTAGCTAAGCATTCCTCTGACAGCTGCATGTGGCTCACTTTACTGTACACTGAATGAAGTGATACTACTAATGTCCATTGAACCAATTGGATGCCATTTGTATATCCACCGTAACTGTTACGGTCAGCTTTGTTTACTTAAAAGTTAATGATTATATGCAGTTTGAGTAAGCGATTGTTATATATCTCACGCGCAATTTGGTTGATGTCGGTGTGTCAGAGGCTACTTCCGAAAACGTACTTCCCTACTATATAAAGTCGGCGAAAAACCTAACTTTACGGTCAGCTTTAAGTTAATGATTATATGCAGTTTGAGTAAGTGGTTCTAGATATCTCACGCCCAATTTGGTTGATGTCGGTGTGTCAGAGGCTGCATCCGAAATCGTATATACTTAGGCCTAAGTTACTATAAAGTAGGCAAAAACTGTACACACTCTAAACAATGCTGGGTTGTTTCAACTAAAATTTGGGTCAAATATGGACATACCCAAATGTTGGGTTAAAAATGTAATTTCAAATTTTATCCCAACTTTCACTTTCGACTGTACATTTTTTTATTGCATTTTTAACCTTATAACATTTGGGGTTGTCCATTTTTTTTTAACCCAAATTTGGGTTAAAACAACCCAGCATTGTTTAGAGTGTATGTGACAAAAAAAGTGTCCGAATTGACTGTACTTATTAAAAGATTAGGCAAAAATGACCCAGATGATTTAATAGCCTACTTCCGACGGGATTCTGAAGTGTGCATACGATGGACACTTTACTGTCCCATGAGGCAACGGGAGATACTTTGTGAATGGCAGTGAAGCGATGTAACTGACACTGTAGGTGACATGATAAAAACTAGCCTACATGGTGAATGTAGTATGGATTACAATCACAATATTTAACATATGCTTTATTTTTATCTTTTTGTCCAAGATATTCTAGTTGAAGTAATGATATCATTAACTGCAAAGTGAAAGTAAAGTTAAAAGGCTTTTGCAATATAAGTTTTGTAAAATATTGTAGTTACTAGAAGTTATAGTTCAAGTAATTGTAAAAGTAATATATTTTGTTATACACTTCTATTTTGTAATATAAAATCAGGATGACTTACGAAACAGACTCAAATCTTACTAGCTAAACCTTTTTAGCACAAGAGTTTTGAAATGATTTTCACAGAACTATCTGTATGACTGGAAACCCCAACGGTGACATTTACCCAGCCATTTCCTCAATATGCTTAATTTGCTGTAATCCAGTCCCTGGCAATGTCTGAGAGACTGTGGCGTGATGCATCCCAGGCCAGGCAAGTCAAGTTTTGTTGTTGAGTTGAATGCACTAAGATTTGCAATTTCCATGCATGACAGAGTTTGAGCATGATATCCTGCAGCTTTAAACTTTAATCTCGAGTCCATGTTCCCAGTATTTAAACCCCTAAGAGCATAGCCTTTAGACATATATATATATATATATACGTAAATATACAATACCATCCAAAAGTTTAGGGTCTGTAATATTTTTTGTAAAATGTTTTTGAAAGAAGTCTATACTCACCAAGGTAGAGTTTATTTGATCATACATATATTGTGAAATATAATTTAAATAATTTTCTATTTGAATATATGTCAACATTTATTTCTGTGATGCAAAGCTGAATTTGCAGCATCATTACTCAGTGTAAGCATTATAAAATGCTGTTACAAGAAACATTATTAATGTTGAAAACAATATTTTTGTGGAAACCATGAAGCTTTTTTCCAGGATTCCAAGTTCAAAAGAACAATTTAATGTCTTTACTGTCACTTTGATCAATTTAATGCATCCTTGCTAAATAAAAATGTAAAATTCTTAAAATGTATATAAAATCTTACTGACATGACACCATACTTTTGAACAGCAGTGTACATTTAACGTTTATTTGTTTTATTGAAATCGTTAAAATTAAATTAAAAGGGAGGCGAACAACAACAAAATAATAATCATAATAATAATGACAAAAAATACCAGAAATTGTTGTACTTGGTTGTCAAAGCTTGTCTTCTCCATAAATCTAGATATCACTTTCTGTCTTTTTATGACTCACACACATGCCCTATTTTGAAAGGTGCAGCTTAAAGGATTATTTTTCAAAAATGTTTACTCTCTAGTCTCTGTTTGTACATTTGAAATGTCCTGAAATGCTATTATGTGGTTATCGAGTGTTCTGGATGGCCAGGCAAAAATCATGGTGCAAATGACATCATCAAAACGTACCATCTAAACGTACCTATTTACTTGGGTCAGGTCAGAGGTTTGTTCATATAATCAAACCTATGTACTGTATGAGCAATAATAATGGTGAAGCTTGACTTAGCAAACACCTGTCTCACCTACCTCTTTTTTATTGTCACTGGTGTGTTAAAAAACTCTCATGTGTAGCTGTAAAGTCAAATCATGCCTCCACACAAAGACACTGGTATGAGCGTGTGGCTTGTATTACAGCCACAACGTGTTAGGCCAGTTTAAAAGAAATGAAATGAAATCAGTCCTCACACTGACACTCTGGACCATGCAGAGACAGTTCAGATTGATGGGAGTCTCGAACTTGTATGTTCTTCATTGATTTTTTTTTTCCATAGCAGCAACTAAAAAAAGGAATGGAACAAATCAATATTAAGGTACAGCGAATGTTTGGCCACTTGTAGATGATTAATATATTTTCTGTTGTTTTAGAATAGGCTTCCCTGAGCCTCTAAGAAATGTAATTTATATAGATTTTGGAAAATTGACATGTTCTGTGGTGTGACAATATTATCTAAATGTATTTTTTAAACACACTTTTGCTACAAATATTTTATAGTTATGCATGCAGATTTAATAAAATCCTTTATGCTTGTTTGAACTGAAAAGCTACACGTAATATTTGTACATGCAATTGTGTCGCAGCACAGGGACATTTAAAAGGAACTAGTGAAGACAAAGGGCTGTTGAAATGGGTATTCAAACTTATAAACAATGGTAAACACTAAACTTTGCAGGACGTGAGACTATTAAAATTGGGCTTTATGAAAATTAATCAGTGCCTTTGCTTGAATAGCAAGTCAGCAGATTGACACGTCACAGGGTTTGGTAATTTTACAACTTTGCACTTTATTTGTGGTCATTTGACAACTATTTTCCGTGAGTGAAAGTAAAATATTTTCATAGTCATGCACATTCATAAACTCACTGCGGTTGACCTTACCTGTTGCAAGCAAGCAGTGCATGTAAGCCTAATGGAGACATTTGTTTTCATTATGATTTTCACACAAAAATTGGTATGAACAATCAAACTGCCTGCCTAAAGTCAGTGCAAATGTTTTATTTAGTATTATTTTGTTTTCTCTGGAATTATGTTCACTGATAAATTGTTATGACTACACTTTTCAAGCCCGGTCTCATCCTAAGGCGTCATATACTGACGCTTTTGCCAATGCATACGTCCACCGCACATGGCACCCTTTAGCGTCAATATGAGACGCAGATATATATGGGCCAGAAAACGCCCCCTAGTGGTCTAACCCTACCCCAGAACTAAACCTACTCATAACCGAAGCATATTATATTGACACTAAAGGGTGCTATGTGTGTTGGATGTATAAATATTGGGCAAAAGCGTCAGTATATGACGCCTTGGGATGAGAATGCGTTGAAAAAAAAACACTCTAAAAAATCCTGGGTTGTTTTAACCAACTTTGGGTAAAATATGGACAAACCCAGCCATTGGGTTAAATCTTTTTATGACATTTTAACCCAACGTTTGGGTTTGTCCATATTTGACCTAAAGTTGGGGATAAAACAATCCAGCATTTTTTAGAGTGGAATATCGAACTGGAGATCACTAAACTGCAAGCTTACCGGTGTTTTCAGAAAGCCAGAGAGTGAAGCAAACGAGAAAACGAGAGTGAAGCTCTGATTAAGGGGATTATGTCTCTTGTTATCTGGCAACCCCATTGTGTTTCTCTGCGGGACAGATTAAAACTTGTTAAGCCTACAGTATATTCTATGCTATTCATTCATTTCACCACATTTCTACTTTCTACTCAGGGGTGATGAACTGAGAAAAAAAAATTTCCTTGAGCTTTTGACATCTAAGAGATCATCATATTATAAGAATATCCTGTAAGTTTCAGAACTGAAAACGTCCTTGTTAGTCCAATAAAAGCTTTTATTGACACCAGGCTCAGCAAACGACTCGTTATTCAAAGTGGGGAGGATAAAACACCACCCCCACAGAAGAAGATTAACGCCTGCTTCAACACGTCCGGTTTAGCCCCGCCCACCGATTCGCGCATTACAAGCACAGCTAAATTACATAGGTCTATCTTGTGATGGCAAACCGGTTTGAGAGTGAAACTCATTATAATACGCAAAACTGTTATCCACTCACAGCAGTGGGCGTTTACTTCCAAGTCTTCAATGCGAGACGCCCATAAAAACCGAGCGTTTTTGATCTGGGCTCAAATCTAGGGTAGAAAATAGCATATTACTTATTCATTTTGATGTTTTTTAATGTAAAAACCAAGCGAACGTCATTAGTTTTTTTTTTAAAAGCCAGTTCATGACCCCTTTAAGCGCGGTCCACTGCTGTGCACGTGCTGCATAATCGCTACAGAGGCATCTCTTTCGATACTCGTTCTTAGCGACAAATAGAAGTAACTTGTTTATTCCTCCGTTGTAAAATCAGGAACGTGTGCTACAAAAGTAAAGTGGTTTCTTTTCATTTCATGTTGATTTTAAACTGAAACTGTGCTTTCACCATGCATGCCATTGCCAAATCCAATGTGTCTGCACCATGAAGCGAACCCTGCAAAAGAGAGAGACTAATGCTAGGAAAATATATTGACAGTTTGTGACTTTATTTGTGTGTTTAATTTAATTTCTCATATGGTCCTCGCAGGTCTAGGAGGTCACAAGCCAGCTGAGAGAGACTGCGAGATTCACCCTATTACGCCCTTCTCATGGAGGACAGAAAGTCTATAATGGGCACCTTACGCAGAAAAGCCAAACTCTTGCAACACTCGCGGCAAAACAAAAACTCCAATAAGCCAGAAGTCCGGGAGGAGTGCGTGCCGGAGGAGCAGATGAGTGTTTCCGTGGCAGACCTCCTCAAGAAGAGTCGGACAACCTCACTAATAAACCTCTCCCACCAGCAGCCAGCCGAAGTCCGGCCATCCTCCATCTGCATGAGCAGCCAAAGAAAAGCCCTCAGCAGGAGTCTGCGAAACATCGGGGGAGGAACCGGGCCGACCAAGCTGGTGGACTCGAGCGACTGGCCTTCGCAGGAGTCGGTCACTGATGAGGAGCAGAACATCTCCAACTCCACAGATGAGATGGATCAGGTGCTGCGCTTGAGGGACACACAGATTCCTTCACCGGAGAACTTTGCTGAGGTAAAGCGTGTTTCCGTTGGGTTAATCATCACGGGAGGGAGGAAGTTTTCTGCTTTTTATGGTCACCATCCAACAAGATTGTGTTACTCAAACCTGTTTGTATTTGATTCTTTTGGTGAACTTAGTACTTCCTCGTGTTTTTTTTTTTGTAAAACTTTTTCTGTTGGAATGTATAACATTTGCATGCTTTTCTTTTAGCTTTCACTGCGTTGGCATGCTGTCAACATTGTAATTTAAACTCCAGGGAGGATTGCAAAAGCACCTCTCTTTTGTGAAATGCAGTTCTCCTAAGTCATACATATACAGCAGGAACTTGTAATAGCATTAGCCCTAGAATGTGGTAACGCAGGCCGGTGCTTCTCCATTTGTTTAAAATGCAAATGATTCCACGGGAAGTGTCATGCTACCTTTACGGTACTGAACGGCACCAAAAATAAACACACAAACGGAGATCTTTAATTGTTAGGTAAGGGTAGACGTTTTGTTAGTTATGCAACGGTGCTTCCTTCTGCATCGATGACCTTTCTCTTTTATTGTAGTGGAGTTATCGTACTGTATGCTTCATATGGGCACCACTTTCGTGGATATTATGCAAGACTGTTTGTTTTTACGGGTGAGTCAGATGCTAAGTTTTAAATATTGAATCACCTGACCTTAAAAGTTTAACATGGGATTTTCAGTACTTTGCTTTATTTGTCAAAGAACCTTAAAAGCTTTTAAATTAAGGTACTTTATAAGTGTTGATGCTTTAGTAATGGAAAGCCTTGACTTGACTTTTTTTTTTTTTTTTTTTTAGATTCCTTAGCCCCAGGGAACATAACTGTTAAGCCAGATAACATGCAACAAAGAACTTGAGGAATTAAACAGTTTTCACTGCTAAGGATTTTTTAATAAACTTAAGACAGATGATCTTCTGTTATGTTATTCTAGAAATATGTGCACGGCAAAGTAAACCGTTTTTATCACGGCTGACTTCAAGAGATGGACTGTGAAAAAAATGCGAATATATTTACACCAGTAGTTTGTGAATTTGTGGCTTTTTTGATAATTTTACTCTTTCGTTTGTTGTGTTTGGGAAACAGAAGCCGCATTACAACAGAAATGATTCAGATACATTATCCATACATGACAACGAGCACAATAATGTGAGTATTAGTGTGTGTGTGTGTGTTTGTGTTTTGTTGTTTACTATTAGATGATATGAAAGGACATGAAGTAGGTTCATGCAGCTGACATTGCACTTTAAATGCCCATGAAATGAACCATAGTGTTCATTTCCTGAGCTGACATTGAAGACTCAAGGTTTGCTTCCTCATCATGTTGAAGTTGACTAAAACATATTTTAACATGGTAAAATGGTGCTCTTCGTCATGAGAATTTTGCAAATTAATATACTCTACAGTTCAAAAAGTTTGGTGTCGGTAATATTTTTCTTTTTGTAAAAGAAATTAATACTTGTATTTAACAACAGTGGATTATATTGATCAGTAAAAGTAATTTATAACTGTATAAAATATTTATATTTCAAATAAACGCTGTTCTTCTAAACTTTTTATTCACCACAGAACCCTGAAAAAAATAATTTAAATATTTGAAATCCTATTAAATTAAGAAGAACAACTGTTTTCAACATTGATAATTATAAGAAATGTTTTTTTTGAGCAGCAAATCATCATATTAGAATGATTTCCGAAGGATCATGTGACACTGAAGACTGCAGGAATGACGCTGAAAATCACAAAAATAAATCACATTTCAAACTCAATGAAAATAGAATGATTTTAAGTGTTAATTTTAATAATCTTTTTTGTTTTTACTGTATTATTGATTAAATGCAGTCTTGATGAGCACAAGAAAATCAAAATCAAAAACAATAAAAAAATCGTACACATCCTAAACTTTTAAACAGTGAACAGTAGTGGACGAAAAGACCCAATTGCAATTCATATGCAAATATTACCTCATGGCTGTTAGAATATGAAAAAATAGCACTCTGTCAGTGGTAGTCAATGGAAGATATTTTTTTAATTTAATAAAACATTTTTTAAAAGAATGTAATGAAAAACAGTACTTCTTTTTTAAAACAGGGATAACGTGGCTTGAACGTACTATAAAACACTATATTATTATTTATTATTTTTTATATGTACTATAAAAAATAAAGCATATGTTACAAACTGGTTACTTCTAGATTTTTTTTTTTTACTTCTAAACTGGTTACTTCTAGATTTTTCCACTTCTAGATTTTTTTTCACTATTTTTAAAGACCATGTACGTTTTTGCAGTTCACTTAATAATCGACTTATAGAGCAATGACAACAAATGTTGCTTAGAATAGTTTAATTATAACATGTTTTCCTGTCATTTAATTAATCTTTGTTTTTGTTTTTTTGTTGTGGTAATGTTTCGGGTTCGCCACACACACTGTTTGAAATGTCATGTCAACTATCCGGATGGGGTATAGTGTTCGAATGACCCACATGAAAGCTTGTTGTACAAGGTTCTCTCATTTATTTTTGAATTTTTTATTTTTCAATCAGATTCTGGACATGAGGACAGAGACAGCTGGAGTTAGTGAGCATCAGAGGGAACGTCAGAGAACATATCTGCTCACTATATGCCTAAAGGAGGGACGTGGACTGGTCATTAGAGACCGCTGCGGTGAGTGTCAAATATCTGTGTATAAACACTACACACCCTGAAGCACTACACACATCCTACATTTCAATAACAATTAGTGTGTTCTTGTTTGTTAAGTGGGAGGTATTGAAGCCCTGCATTATGGGACTGTAGAGTTGATGCGGTAAGGTGCGTGTGTATTTTTGTCATTAAAATGCTTCTTCATTCCTGGGTTTACTGTATAGAGACAAATGTAAATAAGCTTTCAAAACATTGCTCTGCTTGTTTGAGTGGTCTGGACTGACATGTCTACTTCTGACGTGACCAGTGGCGTGAGTTTGGGGTAGCACTGTTTCTAATAAGCCGTTTAGTAGGGAATTTACTGTACTTATATGTCTGAACAGACAGATGTTAGAAACTCATCATTTTCAAATCATTATTTTTGCAATCAGAGCCGATCCTGTCCTCCCTGTGGCCCTAAGAAAAAATCTGTTAAGAGGCCCTCCTACCTGACCCATGAGCCATGTTACCATTGCCACACAGTCACACCTGAGACCCCAGTTCTCCCACTACAATCCTTAATGAAAATGTAATTCCTGATATCAGAACAGACATATTTTATATTAATATCGAATTATATTTTAAATTAATATACCAAATAAATGAATCTTTTTCGAGTCTTTTTGTTCGTTCAACAAACAAAATGAACGAAATGACTCAAAAAAAGATTCGTTCGTTTTGAGTTCGGACAGGAGAGTCATGAACACGCATCACAGAACAGAGCAAGGCGAGAATTTGTGCTTATAAAACTTAAACTTTGTCATTTCTTTTTTTAAATGACCGATCCTTTCGCTTGATAAGACCCTTATTCATCGTCTGGTGTCGAAACTCTCATTTGGACCTTGAACCGTTTGGTTCCCATTGAAGTCCATTATATGGAGAAAAATCCTTAATTTCTTTTCGACTGAAGAAAGAAAGACATGGACATCTTGGATGACATGGGGGTTGAGTAAAATATCTGCAAAAGTTGTTTTTTTTTAAAGTGAACTACTCCTTTAACGCGCGACGCAGTTATCTTGAGCTGCAGTTTATAAACAAACACCATTGCCCTTTGTATTATCAAACGTAATCTCATTAAAGTGCGTATCTATACGACAATTCACCATGACGTCACAACAGTAATAGGTGTTCTTCTGGGTGGCAAAAGCTGAAGCATTCCTATGGCAACTCTTGTAAATTGTTTGGAAGGGAGACCCATGTAAAATGTAATATAACATGTTATTAAATATAATGCGTTTTTATTAACCATAATAACAACTGTGTTTAATGATATAAGTAAAAATTATATTACATATGCAATATAGTAGGCCTACACATAATTAGCAAAAAATTCTAGCTATTTTTTCTAGCCAAAATAACATGCTATATCCTATCATGGTCATTAAATGGTGTTCCTGAGGTAAGTGTTAAGTGACAGTTGTTCTCCAGCTGTTATATTAATCTGTTTGCGCGGTTGATAAACACTGATTGGTCGATATTATATATGAGGAATATACATTTTGGTAAGTTGCGTGAGAAAATGGATGTGTGGCGTGGTGAGAGGCGAGTGTGTGAAAAGTGACAATTGTGAGTCTCACGGTCAATGTGTGAGAGTGGACAGCCCTCTTTTACTTCAGGCAATGACATAATGGCAATGAGTCTGATCTGCAAAAGTGACAAGTACTAATATTAGTCTCGAATTTCCCCGGCTGAAGATAAATGCTCTGGTATGATTTTGTAGATGGACTGTTTTGAGAATACACGAAGCAGAGTTGAAGGGCAAGCAGGGTTGGCAGCAGAAATGTAAACATTCGGATGAATCATATAATTTGGAACATTATTAAGATTTCCAACTTTTGACGACACAACGTCCACTCGCAATAACCTCCTCACCAACAAGAAATCGATACAACCCCTACACCTTTATTGAACATAGCATTATATATATATATATATATATATATATCATAATGCAACCAATCACATGGCAGTTGCTTCAATGCATTTAGGGGTGTGGTCCTGGTCAAGACAATCTCCTGAACTCCAAACTGAATGTCAGAATGGGAAAGAAAGGTGATTTAAGCAATTTTGAGTGTGGCATGGTTGTTGGTGCCAAACGGGCCGGTCTGAGTCTTTCACAATCTGCTCAGTTACTGGGATTTACACACACAACCATTTCTAGGGTTTACAAAGAATGGTGTGAAAGGGGAAATACATCCAGTATTTGGCAGTCCTGTGGGCGAAAATGCCTTGTTGATGCTAGAGGTCAGAGGAGAATGGGCCGACTGAGTCAAGCTGATAGAAGAGCAATTTTGACTGAAATAAACACTCGTTACAACCGAGGTATGCAGCAAAGCATTTGTGAAGCCACAACACGCAAAACTTTGGGAAGGATGGGCTACAACAGCAGAAGACCCCACTGGGCACCACTCATCTCCACTACAAATAGGAAAAAGAGGCTACAATTCACAAGAGCTCACCAAAATTGAACAGTTGAAGACTGGAGAAATGTTGCCTGGTCTGATGAGTCTCGATTTCTGTTGAGACATTCAGATGGTAGAGTCAGAATTTGGCGTAAACAGAATGAGAACATGGATCCATCATGCCTTGTTACCACTGTGCAGGCTGGTGGTGGTGGTGTAATGGTGTGGGGGATGTTTTCTTGGCACACTTTAGGCCCCTTAGTGCCAATTGGGCATTGTTTAAATGCCACGGCCTACATGAGCCTTGTTTCTGACCATGTCCATCCCTTTATGGCCACCATGTACCCATCCTCTGATGGCTACTTCCAGCAGGAAAATAAACCATGTCACAAAGCTTGATTCACTTCAAATTAGTTTCTTGAACATGACAATGAGTTCACTGTACTAAAATGGCCCCCAGAGTCACCAGATCTCAACCCAAAAGAGCAGCTTTGTGATGTGGTATAAAATAATAAGCTATCCTATCAATATGGGCCAATATTTCTAAAGAATGCTTTCAGCACCTGTTGAATCAATGCTATGTAGAATTAAGGCAGTTCTGAAGGCGAAAGGGGACACGGTATTAGTACGGTGTTCCATATATATATATATATATATATATACATACAGTATATATATTAAATGTGATCACACATGTGACATTTGTGTCCACGAAGGGACACATTAAGGTGCATGAGCGTTAAAGTTAAATTCATCTATCGATTAATTCATTAAATTCATCGAACTGTCTTTGACAGTTGAGCTCCAACTCATCTTCAGTGTGCATATTGAAAACTGAGCCGTTCTGAGATGCTGATAATAACACCGGATCACGAGCCGATGCCGCCAGCAAAGTGTGCACTTCACTTTGAAAGACACAGCGCAAACAGACTATATCTTTATTTAATCAAATAACAATCTATTAATCAAATAGTCTTTTGCAGTTTGGTAAGGGCACAAAGCCTTATCGCACTTTCAATTGTAGTTCGTTTGAGAAATACTTTGCCAAACCAATGTTGCAAAACAAGTTATAGACATGTTATTATTATGTTTTTGCTGATCGGTCCATTCCATAATATTTTTGAACACTTGCATTGCTTTCATACATCAGACAACATTCCTCACAGCACATTCAAACCTGTCTGCAGCCACACCTGAAATACACACCTTCAACCTTTAAACGGACTGTTGACTTTACCGGCACACGAGACACTCATTCGAGACATATAAAAACAGACAGACAGACAGACAGACAGGTGGGAACTAGGATATGCATTGGCATACTTCCTTTTATTTACTGCTGTTTATTGCTTCTGCTTGCGTCATTGATACGTGGCTCATGAATCAAGCTCTTTTCCCGTTTACCAGTCTGTGTATTTTGCTTTAATTTCATGATTTGTTAGCTTCCTGTTAAGCTTTTTCAGAGCGATCCTGTTGCCATGTTCTCGCAAGAATGTGAAACCGATCTTAATTCTGATCTCTTTTACCAGAGTTTAGAAAAACACTGTTAGAAAGATTAGGATATTGTTACTGACCTTCCCCTACTATTGGCCGTTTTCTTACAGTATGTGTGTCTTTTATATGATCGAGCACCTTGAGGTTTACAGTCAAAATTTGCATATTATAGTCAGTGTTTGCACACATGCACTTATTGTTGATGATATCATATTGGTGTTTTAATGTCAACATGAATGGCCGATTGCAACTCATTTTACTTCGGTACAGAATATTCAGCAAACAGGATATTTCCAATACACACTACCATTCAAATGTTTGCTTTGTGGCAATTAATGTTTTGAAAGAAGTCTCATGCTCGCCAAGGCTGCATTTATTTGAATAAAAATGCTATTGTGAAATAGTATTATATTTTAAAATGACTGTTTTCTACTTTAATATTAGAATACTTTATTCCTGTGATCATACATCAGTGTCACAAGATCCTTCAGAAATCATTCTAATATGCTGATTTGGTGCTCAAGAAATATTTCTTTATTATTACCTATGTTAAAATATTTGCTTATTTTTTTCCAGCGTTCTTTGATGAATAGAAAGTTCAAAAGAAGTTATCTTTACTGCCACTATTGATCATTGTAATGTGTCTGCTAAATAAAAATATTTTAAACAAAAAAAAAAAAAATTGCCAGAGCCATTGAGCGCACGCACTGAGACGAGAGAGGTATGCATCAACTCGTCTTAGTTAAGGGAATAACATGGTTTAATATGAAAAAAATGGTGGAGTATCCCTTTAAAGCTCACTTTGATGAAGGGGGCAAATAAGGGAGCAACTGAGGACCCGTCTTGCTCACACTTACTCAATGCTTCCCTCTATTGGTGCTTCAGGGTATCAGGCAGCTAGGCAGAAGTGCTTAGTATTTTTTTTTACTGCCTTATTGAAGCCCCCTTTTTATCCATAATATTTATAGCAGCTGACCCTACCAGAGGTAGTTGCATTGCAAACTTTTCTTTCTTTTCTTTCAAAATGCTCTTCTCCGGAAGCTGGCTGGTTTTGCGTCATGCACTGAGAATGTTGCACTTAAGTATTAACCACATCCTTGTCAGACTCAGAATCAAACCCACACACGACTAAACTAACTGAATGTACTGCACATGTCATCTGATTTGAAGGAAAAACAATTGGGAATGCACTGACATGAAGTTTTCAGATTCCACTAAAAGATTAGATTTTTGTTTTACTGTGCATTTTCAAGTCTTTTCAAATCCACTTGAAGAAACACTAAGGTCACATATGTGTATCACTGACAAATTACTATGTCTGAGTTGTCAGATTTTTAAAAGCCTTTTTTAAATACAAGTGTTCCAAGTTTGTTATCTTTGGTTTCATAGATTTTTTCATAGTGAGTTCATAGTGAGTGTCAATGCTAGCAAATGTCAAGTAAACATCAAGTAAAATGCAATATTTATTTACACACTGAATACACAGGTATATACATCTTATTTTATAAAGGTTTTCAAACATTTTTTTAAGGTAAGAAACATTTTTGTAAGGATTTTAAATATCCATATGAAGAAAAAAAAAACTAACTTATTGTGCCATAAAATGACATTACTAGGGATGCACCGATATGAAAATTTTAGCCGGTAACCGATATATCGGCCGATAAACTTAAATCCAAAATTTTATCTAATTTTGAGTGCCTGATTGCAAATACAAAAGTCTCACAATTAAATCCATGTCCCAAGCACACAATTATAATGATGTTCTCATTATAGTGTTATAGCCGATATGACAGATTTGCGCTGCACATGTTGTACCGAACCGTATTTTCATTTTTTGAAGAGATTTCAATCATATTTCAAGAAATTCAAAAACATAAACAGTGCTCAACAAGTGTCTCAGCTGAAGGGAATAATACATTATTTATCGGTTTTAATATATCGGCCACATTTTCTTTCCTGGCCGATAACGATAACATTAAAAATGAACATATATCGGCCGATACCGATATGCTGGCCGATATATCGTGCATCCCTACACATTACTTAAATGGACTTTACCATATCAGGAGTGTCTACATGTTAGCTATACAATGTTTGATGATCAAAAGTTTTTCAAATATTAGTGATATGTTAAAGCAAATCTGCAAATAAATAAATAAAAGACAAAGTAAATGTAAAAAAAAAATGTACACTGCCTTTTTTACTTCAGTTCATGCCCCAAATTTTCATTCTGAAAAAAAAAACAGTCATCTTAGTAGACATGTATATTCATATATCAAGTCATTGTCTGTAGGAACTGCATTTTTATTTATTCTTAAATAAAAAAATACATTCAACCAGAATTTTAATTTTATGTTAAGAAAAAAAAATGAGTAACAGGTCACTGAGCTTTAACACATGTAAGGACTAAAACAAAACAAACTTCTGTCTCCATAGGCACAAGTGATCCTTATGTGAAATTCAAACTGGATGGTAAGACCTTATACAAAAGCAAAGTGGTGTATAAGAATCTCAACCCTTCCTGGAACGAATCCTTCTCCTTCCCGATCCGCAACCTGGACCAGAAACTCTTCATCAAGGTAGCCTACTTGTTCACTAACTTTCACATTATGCTGTGATATGTACTGTATAGGTGCATTAAGCAGTCCCATCCATCCGATTATTCAGGTTTACGATCGAGATCTGACATCGGATGACTTCATGGGGTCGCACGGTGTTGTGCTGAATACACTGGAACTTGAAAAGTAGGTAAATCTGAAATATTTGTGTTCAAGGTCAAAGGCCAAGTGTGTGGTTTCTGATGCTTTTGTTCTGTCTCGTCTACAGGACCAGTGAGATGGTGCTTCCACTGGACGACCCCAACAGCCTGGAGGACGATATGGGTGTCATAGTCATCGATATCACTTTATCTGCGAGGGATGGCAAAAACAAAAAACATGTAACCAAGGTAATGGATTTAAAGAGCTGCTTAGGCAAGCTAATGATGAACTCACTCCACTAACTCGTGTTCACATTATTTGTTTCTGTTATGAAGAGATGGGTCCAGAGGGAAAAAAGGAGCTTTACGGTGAGAAGGTTTAGTTTTAAATTGCCTCTAATCTGTTACTAATCGTATTTGGATTCTTGAGTGGTCGTGTCAGCGTTCTCTCAGGAATTTATTCAAATGCTTCCTGTAATAACATATATGAAGCAAATTGTTCCACAAACAATGATGTCTGTATGTTTATGTGCATTCAAAAACAAGCTAAAATAACAACCAATATAACAGTGGTTCTCAATTTATTGTATTTATTTTGCATGTCAAATTGTGGCCAGAATATGTTTTGAATTTTTCCTGGTCTCGACAGCCAATAACTGACCACGAAAGCACCTTGCAATGATTTTAATCTGGGTTATATTTTGTATAATATTTTTCATGTTTTTTGAGAATGAGGCCATGCCACACAACATGACCATGCTGACATCAGCCTAACTTGACCTTGCTTTTAAAATACTGTAAGAAATACTGTAGAGTTTGATTGGATGCACACTGCATGCCCTTTGATGTCATCAGCAAAAGATAAATGGTGTTTTTTCCTCAATTTTAACATTTATTTAGCGTGCTTAACTAATATCATGCATTTTATTGTTTGCTTTTAGTAGAATTCTTTTTCCCTGCATCCCACTAGTTCAGAACCACTGGGGTGATAATAATATCCAAAAACTTAAGAGATCTCAATATCACATCCCAGTATGTTTATTGATCCTCAGGGAAGTGCAATAGAGCACAACAGACGTCTCACAGAGTCTATGAAGAAGAGTCAACTCTGGACTGGCGTCTTTACCATCACACTGGTGGAGGGGCGGGACTTACCACTGGATGGACAGGGCGACGTGTTTGTTCGCTTCAAACTGGGAGATCAGAAATACAAAAGCAAGGTACTTACTGGGGAACGTCTGTATGACCTGTCCAGCTCTTCGCTGAAACATTCGAATTTGAAAAGGATTAGCAAGAATTAGGCTTTAAGTTTGCCTTCATTTTCACAGAATCAAGTGAAGAAAGTCAACACACTGTGGAGAGAAAAGTTTGACTTCAACCAGTTCCCTAACGGGTCCAGTATTCTAGAGATTGAAGTGGTGGGAAAAGAGGGACGGAAAAATGAAGAATGTTACGGACAGTGAGTTCAAGAAATAAACTAAGCTCTTTTGACAGAAGTTGGCATGATATCATTTACATCTGGAAATAGTCTTATATAGTCTTAAGTATATCCTCAAGACTTCGGATGAGACGTTAAACCGAGGTCCTGACTCTCTGTGGTCATTGAAAATCACATGGCACTTCTCATAGCCTGGCCACGTTCCCTCCAATGGCCCTTGCCAATCATGGCCTCCTAATAATCCCCATGCATTGAATTGGCTCAATCACTCTCTCTCCTCTCTCCACCTGTAGCTGGTGTGTTGTGAGCGCACTGGCGCCGTTGTACTGTGGCTGCCGTCACATCATCCAGGTGGATGCTCACACTGGTGGTGGTTGAGAAGAGACCACGACTCCGACAAATGCCTCCTTCCTTCCTTCCTTCCTCCATCCCTACTTCCTTCCTTCCCTCCTCCTTTCCTTCATCCCTCCCTCCCTACCTACTTTTTTCCCTCCTTCCTTCCTTGCTTCTTTCCTTCTTTCCTTCCTCCCTTCCTTCCTTCCTTCCTTCCTTCCATCTTTCCTCCCTTCCATCTTTCCTCCCTTCCTTCCTTCCTTCTTTCCTCCCTTCCTTCCTTCCTTCCTTCCTTCCTTCCTTCCTTCCTTCCTTCCTTCCTTCCTTCCTTCCTTCCTTCCTTCCTTCTTTCCTTCCTTTCTTCCTTCTTTCCTCCTTCCTTCCTCCCTCCCTCCCTTCCGTCTTTCCTCCCTTCCTTCCTTCCTTCCTTCCGTCTTTCCTCCCTTCCTTCCTTCTTTCCTCCCTTCCTTCCTTCTTTCCTCCCTTCCTTCCTTTCTTCCTTCCTTCCTTCCTTCCTTCCGTCTTTCCTCCCTTCCTTCCGTCTTTCCTCCCTTCCTTCCTTCCTTCCTTCCTTCCTTCCTTCCTTCCTTCCTTCCTTCCGTCCTCCCTCCCTCCCTCCCTCCCTCCCTCCCTCCCTCCCTCCCTCCCTTCCTTCCTTCCTTCCTTCCTTCCTTCCTTCCTTCCTTCCTTCCTTCCTTCCTTCCTCCCTCCCTCCCTCCCTCCCTCCCATCTTTCCTTCCTTCTTTCCTTCCTTCCCTCCCTCCCTTCCTCCCATCTTTCCTTCCTTCCTTCTTTCCTTCCTTCCTTCCCTCCCTTCCTTCCTTCCTTCCCTCCCTCCCTCCCTCCCTCCCTCCCTTCCTTCATGCCTTCCTTCCTTCCTCCCTTCTTCCCTCCCTCCCTCCCTCCCTCCCATCTTTCCTTCCTTCCTCGCTTCTTGCCTTCCTTGCTTCCTTCCCTTCCTTCCTTCCTCCCTCCCTCCCTTCCTTCCGTCTTTCCTCCCTTCCTTCCTTCCTTCCTCCCTCCCTCCCTCCCTCCCTCCCTCCCTCCCTCCTCCCTCCCTTCCTTCCTCCCTTCCTTCCTTCCTTCCTCCCTCCCTCCCTCCCTCCCTCCCATCTTTCCTTCCTTCTTTCCTTCCTTCCCTCCCTCCCTTCCTCCCATCTTTCCTTCCTTCCTTCTTTCCTTCCTTCCTTCCCTCCCTTCCTTCCTTCCTTCCCTCCCTCCCTCCCTCCCTCCCTTCCTTCATGCCTTCCTTCCTTCCTCCCTTCTTCCCTCCCTCCCTCCCTCCCTCCCTCCCATCTTTCCTTCCTTCCTCGCTTCTTGCCTTCCTTGCTTCCTTCCCTTCCTTCCTTCCTCCCTCCCTCCCTTCCTTCCGTCTTTCCTCCCTTCCTTCCTTCCTTCCTTCCTTCCTTCCTTCCTTCCGTCCTCCCTCCTCCCTCCCTCCCTCCCTCCCTCCCTCCTCCCTCCCTCCCTCCCTCCCTCCCTCCCTCCCTCCCTCCCTCCCTCCCTCCCTCCCTCCCTCCCTTCCTTCCTTCCTTCCTTCCTTCCTCCCTCCCTCCCTCCCTCCCTCCCTCCCTCCCATCTTTCCTTCCTTCTTTCCTTCCTTCCCTCCCTCCCTTCCTCCCATCTTTCCTTCCTTCCTTCTTTCCTTCCTTCCTTCCCTCCCTTCCTTCCTTCCTTCCCTCCCTCCCTCCCTCCCTCCCTCCCTCCCTTCCTTCATGCCTTCCTTCCTTCCTCTCTTCCTCCCTTCCTCCCTTCTTCCCTCCCTCCCTCCCTCCCTCCATTCTTTCCTTCCTTCATTGTGGCATGAGACTAGTTTTATAGGATTCCTGTGAAACCTTGTCTGTCCAAAGTTATACAGTGTCCAATATTTCAACTCCTGCCATGACTATATGAAACCAGACGGTGCACATTGCAAGGATATTTTACATTGTATATAACTTCTAGTTATATATTTCCAATAGTTACAGTATATTTTTATATACTACTATTTTAAAATTTTTACATTTATTTACCAAGGATGCATTCAATTGATCAGGAGTGACAGTTAAGACTTTAACGTTGTGACAATTTATATTTTACATGATCATTGTTCTTTTAACCTTTCTATTCAAAAAATCCTGAGGAGAAAAATATATCAAAATTTCCACTTGTTTAATTAATCATATTAAAAAAAAATCAATTACAAACAAAATGAAAAACCGAATCAAATTTAAATTTTCTCCTTGGTAATTAACATTTATGCCACAAATGCTGTCGATCGAGCTTACGTTGAATTAGTCACAGAACATTAAACTCAAAATATTTTCTCAGGAAATGAACTTCCTCCTTGTTAAGACTGGTTTTGTGTTTGCAGGTGTGAGGTCAACTTGTCCGGGCTGCCCTTGAATCAGCCCTCATTGTTTACAAGTGAGCTTGACCCGGGCAGAGGCAAGCTGGTGTTCCTCGTCCATCCCACTCCCTGCACTGGAGCTTCCATCACGGATCTCGTCGCCCCTCCACTGGAAGAGCCTCATGAGAGGGACAACATGCTGGTTAAATACGTACGTTAAATCGCCCTCTTTACCGCAGTACTTTAACGCAGTAACAAATAATCCCGATCTCCCTTAAAATCTTTTCTTTTTTTCCGTCTTGGCAGAGTTTAAAGAACTCTCTGAAGGATATGAGAGATGTTGGTTTTCTTCAGGTTAAAGTGATTAAGGCCACTGACCTCATGGCTGCTGATCTGAATGGTATTATTTATTATTTTGTGATTACACAAAGTGCCTTTTTTGGTTGAGAGCATGGGTTTGAGCATGTCAACAACCACATTCATTGGACTTTCTGTATATTTTTAGGAAAGAGTGACCCATTTTGTGTCCTGGAATTGGGAAACAACCGGCTGCAGACCCACACTATCTACAAAACCCTCAACCCTGAGTGGAATAAAGTCTTCACTTTGTCAGTATCACTATAACTTTATTAATGTACACTGTCATTCAAAACTATAGGGTCAGTAAGATTTTTTCTGCAAGGATCCATTCAATTGAATAAAAATGTAAGACATTTATAGTGTTACAGAACTTTTATATTTCAAATAAAATTGAATATATTCAATTAGAAGACTTTAGATTTTAAATTGTAATAACGCTTCACAATATTACACAATATCCGAAAAAAGATCTTCAAGACCACAAACCTTTGAATGGACAATGTCAAGTCTACATGCACAGGTATACCAAAATAATCGTCAGACTTATTCAATTTCTCTTTTTTGACCAGCCCAGTAAAAGACATTCATGAAGTTCTGGAAGTGACTGTGTTTGATGAGGATGGCGACAAAGCCCCAGATTTCCTGGGGAAGGTGGTCATTCCTTTACTTTCAGTAAGTGCAGAATATTGATATTCTTCTTTACATAAATTAACATCTTAATTTATTAGAATTGATATATTAATAGTATGTTTGAATGTAGTTTAATGTTTCTTATTGCAGATACGTAACAGTCAGCAGGTCGCCTGTCCTCTGAGGAAAGAGAACTTAGGAGGACCATCTAAAGGAACCATAGTACTGGAGATGGAAGTCATCTACAATTCTGTGAGTCTTGACAGATGACAACAGAGAGATTATGCCTTTAAATGTAGGGTTGGCAATTTCGGAGAGGCTAGCAATAGCAAGCTAGCTTTGAAAGCATAAGATCCCACCCTCCCTTCAGAGCGTCTCCAAAACCATGCCTCCTTCAAAGCTTCCATGGTGTAATGAGAGACAGCATTAAATTTTCTCATGTCTCAAAGAATAGAAACATTATAATAACAATGAACATAAACAACTCGTTGTTTTGGTTCAGGAGGAACTGTAAAAGGCGGCTGGTGTTTGTGTGTGGCGCTCAGAGACTGACGTCTGTTGGAGGTATAGAAATACATATGTTGACAGGGAGGTAGGACATCGTACCATTGCATTTGGATGGAATTTTTTTTGATCCCGAGACTTCCACAGAAGATAAATGTACTTTTTTCTTTATTTTTTCTAGACTACTTTTATTAATAATTGCTATCAGGGTGTTTCAACCGGTATAACAATCAGTGTTTATTAAAAAATAATCTACCCTACCTTTAATAGTTCAATATAACCTGTCTTAGTAATTCACTTAGCCAACCAAAGAATATTTTTAATTAAGTTTACCTATTAATAACCTTGAATATTCTACAATACATGCACTACACCTCATAAACCTCACCAAATGCCTTCAGTGGCTTTATGTGCAATATATACATTTCAAAGTACTATTATGCACATTTAGATACATGAATATAGACATACAATATATATGTAGTGTGTGTATATATAAACACACACACACACACACACACACACACTGTATGTATATGTGTATATTTATGTACTTCTTTCTATATTTCTCTAGATTTGTATTGTGTACAGTGACAAAGCAAAGCATCTTACCTACTTACAGAATATGAGAACATTTTTAAATGGTTGAGCTCAGATATATTTTCAGCACCTGATATATTCTTGTGCATCTGTGAAAAATGTCATATGCTTAGATATTGGATATTTTTTTAGTGTTTGTTTGTTCGATGTCTTGACCAGGTCAAAGCGAGCATTAGGACGTTCACGCCTAGGGAACAGAAGTTTCTTGAGGACAATGCCAAGTTTTCTAAGAAGGTATGAGTTGGGTAACATTCACACTTCTGAAGTCTTCTGAAGTTTTCAGTAGTAGCCTCTCTTTATGAAAAATATGAGCTGGGAATTGGTATATCAACAGGTTCTTTCCAGGAATGTTGTTCGCGTGAGGAACCTTTATCGTGCAGTGTGCCACGTCAACCAGTTCGTCAAAAGCTGTTTCCAGTGGGAAAGCGTGCAGAGGAGCATCATAGCATTTATGGTAAAACGCTTTTTTTCGTCAATCTCATTCGTTATTCATTTTTGTTGTTTCGTGCTATATGATTTAGAAATAAATCATTTAAATGCTGGGTTTTTTTTTATAGCAGCTTACCTTACAGTTAAAACTTATGGTTCCAGATGGCTCTAATTCAGTACCATGGTATCATTATATACTCTGGTATTTGTATAGTATTGGTAAAATCTATTTCAAAGAATACAATGGTAGTGTCACGGTACCATATCCAGTAAAATGTAAAAAAAAAAAAAAGACTTTTCTGTTATCTAGTGAAACATTTTGGGTAACACTTAATTTGACATTCTGTTGGCTATTATTAGTAACACTGCAACTACATGTCAAATAACTCTCAGTAGAGTATTGGTAAACCATCTGCATAATCTCTGCTAACGCTTTATTTTAATGCTTCACAACAGACATTATAATGACTATAAGTAACTGCGCAAGTACATATCAACTTATTCTACTAACCCTAACAGTTTACTAATACTCTTAGTTGACAGGGTTAGTTGACATGTATGTGCAACATTAGAATGTAAATGAATCATGTAACTTCAGGGATAGTTCACCCTAAATAGAAAATTGTCATTTACTCACCCTCATGTTGTTCCAAACCTGCGCGAGTTTCGTTTTTCTGCTGCCAACAAAATAATTTTAATAACCAGACTATTGACCGTGGCCTTGGAAGTCAATGGAAGTCAATGGCTACCTTCAAGTATTTAATTACCAACATTTTTTAAAATACGTTCTTATGTGCTCAACAGAAGAAAGAAACTCATACAGGTTTGGAACGACATGAGGGTGAGTAAGTGATGATCGAATTTTCCTTTTTTGGGTGAACGATCCTTTTAAGAGAAGCATTGGTATTATGTAAATACATGATGAATATGTGACCCTTGATTAGTTCCAGTCTTCATGAAACCTAAATCTTCTGTGTTCTCCTGCAGTTCTTTGTTCTTACTGTGTGGTACTGGGATTTCTACATGCTACCCATGTTCATGGTCCTCCTCATCATATGGAACTATCTCCAGATCGCTTCTGAGAGAGTCACCAGAGACCTAGTGGGTGATTTTTGGCTTAATTGACTCCAGACAACCAGCTTGTGTTGTCTCTTATTATTATAGAATAACACATTTTTTTTTTTTTTAATTTCAATTATTTTTTAATTGAAAAATTATTTAATTATTTTAATTATTTAATTATTTTTTCTAATTAAATATATTCAATTTTATTTTATTAAAAAAATATATTCAGTATTTTTAAGGCATCAAAAGAGTAAAATTGCAAAATGTCTTTCTTTTTTTCTCAGTTGTGAATTTAGCATTTGTTTTAGTGGTTTAACTGTGACAGGCTTACATTAAAGGTTGTATCAGCGATTGTGGGTAACGCCACTTCTGTTTGTGTTTGAAGCCAGATCCCAAACAAAACAAGTTAGCTCGCCCCTCACTCCCATTTCGCGCATCAAGAAAAAAATGATCATGCACGTGCATTTCTTAAAGCGACAAAAACGCACTACTTTCAAATTGATGATCTACCTCAATGATGGCTCATTCTGTGAACTTAGCTTATTTCGATTACAAAGTATAATGATGTATATAAAATCTGCAGTCGAGCCATGTCATATCATACAGCCAGTTTTGCTGCAACAGTATGATAAAACATACCAGAATCAGTCATATAGATCTAACGTTATGGGGAAACTCATGGTAACAACAGCTATCTGGAATAATATTATAACAGCGTATTATTATTAATATTCGGCTAAAGTTAGTCCTGAACGTGCAGTAGGCTAGTGCTATTGCTAATAGTAGGCTACAATGTTATGGGTACACATCAAAGTAGATGCAACTTACACACTAAATCCCTACAATCTATCTGATATTCGCTAGAGCTATCCAAGTATAGTCGAGCTTCACTCATATTTTTTAAAGAGTTATATAGGCGTATTGCATTCACTTGAAGAAAAAAAAATCTACTCTGTTTTTCCGAATTAACGAGTTAATTTTTCATGAGAAAAAAAAAATTGCTCTGTTTTTCTGAATTAATAAGTTCATTTTTCATGAGAAAATTTTTTTTTCTCTGTTTTTCTGAATTAATGAGTTAATTTTTCATGAGAAAATTTTTTTTTGCTCTGTTTTTCTGAATTAACGAGTTAATTTTTCATGAGAATTTTTTTTTTGCTCTGTTTTTCTGAATTAATGAGTTAATTTTTCATGAGAAAAAAAGTTTTTCTCTGTTTTTCTGAATTAATGAGTTAATTTTTCATGGAATTTTTTTTTTGCTCTGTTTTTTTTAAACAGAGCAGAGCTCTGTTTAAAAAACAGAGCAAAAACTTTTTTCCTCACGAAAAATTAACTCATTAATTCAGAAAAACAGAGAAAAAAATATTTTCTCATGAAAAATTAACTCATTAATTCAGAAAAACAGAGAAAAACTTTTTTTCTCATGAAAAATTAACTCATTAATTCAGAAAAACAGAGCAAAAAAAAAATTTCTCATGAAAAATTAACTCGTTAATTCAGAAAAACAGAGCAAAAAAAAATTTCTCAAGAAAAATTAACTCATTAATTCAGAAAAACAGAGCAAAAAAAATTTTTCTCATGAAAAATTAACTCATTAATTCAGAAAAACAGAGCAATTTTTTTTCTCATGAAAAATTAACTCATTAATTCAGAAAAACAGAGCAAATTTTTTTTTCTCATGAAAAATTAACTCGTTAATTCGGAAAAACAGAGTAGATTTTTTTTTCTTCAAGTGAATGCAATACGCCTCCGTACAGTTCACATACAAAAAAGTTAGCATGAGAAGCTACTCACCTGTCCAAAAGAAACGGCGTCCGATTTAAAAATGTTCAATTCTTTGAGTTCTCTCCACCGTTCAAAAGCCTTCCCGATTATTATTCGTTTCTTTGTCGAATAACGACGGTATTCCCTCACCCTAATCCTCCTCCTCTTCTTGGGGATTGCCTCTTCCCTGTTAAAATATGTCTGGGTCGTTGATAGATGCAGCACTCTTAGAAGAAATGGTTCTATTTAGAACCAGAAATGGTTCCATCCCCCGCTTCATATATGGAACTCCAAAATGGTTCTTTTTTTGGTAAAAGGTTCTATTGGCCAAGTATTGAACCCTAGGGGTCCTTTTAAGGTTCTATATAGAACCTTTTCTTCTAAGAGTGATGGCTTATTCTTCAACTCCGACTTCGTGAACAAGCGCAAAAACAAACAACACCCCCCTCTGTCGGTGATTGGTTAGAACACTGTTTATTTTGATTTTGTGTTGTGGTTGTTCCCATTTGTTTTTGTGTGCAGATCTTAGAGGCGCGGTTTTTTGACAGCCTGTTTATGTGGCGGACAGCTAGTGGATCGTTAGGAAAGATTAGATGAATGTGTTCATTTTTGTTTAACAACCTTTAATGAGCAGTTGGACTTCCTCCAATATGTATTATCATCTGATCAAATTTAAAAAGCAATTTCCTTGTTAACTTTCATTTCAAAATGATTCAAAATAAGGCATTTCTCTTGCAGGACACCATGGAGTTAAATGAAGATGAAGATGAAGAGGTATAATTCTTTCCGATTCACAAATGTCCTTACATTCATTGATTCCATGGCATTTAATGCCCTACAGTAGGTCTTCAGTTTAGACTTGTCTTCTTGCAGGAATCTGAAAGAAAAGGTTTGATGGAGAAAATTCACATGGTTCAAGAGATTGTCATTACAGTGCAGAATCTTCTGGAGGAGATAGCATGCTTTGGGGAAAGAATAAAGAAGTATGTGTTTTGTGTCTGCTCTCATATACAGTATTATATTTGTACACTTGTAATGGAGATTGAGAGAATAGAGGTAATTCTTGCGTAATATACTCACTACCGTTTAAATATTTGGGCTCAGTCTGCATTAAATAAATATTTAAAATAATGCACAGATATATTTTCATTTATTTTGAATACTTGCTTATGTCATGGATGAATATAATGAAACTAGTATTTTTTTTAAGGCATCAAAAGATTAAAACTGCAAAATGTCTTTCTTTTTTTCTCAGTACATTCAACTGGTCAGTGCCGTTCTTGTCTAATTTGGCCTTCCTGGTTCTCACTATGGCCACAGTAATCACTTACTTTATTCCAGTACGCTACATTATTTTATTATGGGGTAAGATTACAGCAGTGTTACTGTCTAACAATTCTTTTTTTTTTTTTTTCAAATCAGTGAAATCATTGAACTCAATCAGTTATCAGTACGAGATTGTACAGCATTGTTATTATTATTATTATTTTTAGGTATACATAAATTCACAAAGAAACTGCGCAGTCCTTATGCCATTGAAAACAATGAAGTGATGGATTTCCTCTCCAGAGTGCCTTCAGATGTCCAAATGGTAATTCCCACAGAATTCACTAAAAATAAGGACTTTTCAGCTTTTTTTTAATTGTAATGTGGTGTTTTCTGTATGGATAGGAGCGTTGATCTCCATTTATCAATGCAATGTCTTGAAGGTATAATAATGCCACCAAAGTTTAACATCTAAAAAAGATAACTAGTATTTTTTATGACCATCCTACAATTTAACACCATAATAAACAAACGTATCTGAATTTGACAGTCTTGTTTCCACCACTGAAAAAAAGAAAATTGGGAGTCAAAGAAAAAATTCCCAGTCAAACAAGTCAGAATTGCACGTTTATATAATCTCACAATTTTGACTTTCTCAAACTTCTGAGTTTATAACTCACAATTCTCAGAATTTCGAAAAATTCAGAATAAACACAAATGTGAGAATTTTTTTCAGAACTGTGAGATATTTACTTGCATTTCTGTCTTTTTTTCCCTCGAAAAAAGCGTAGATCTCCATTTTTTTGAAGATCAACTTCAAAAAATGAGATATAAACGCAGATATAATGAGATATAAACGCAGTTATGATGAGTTATAAAGTCAAAATTGTGAGATCTAAATACAATTATGAGAAAAAAAAGCCTCAATGATCTTTTTTTTATTTTTTTCTTATTTCTTAGATGACTAAAATGCTCTGATTTTTCTTAGTTTGCTCATTTATCTGGAAGCTTCTTGCATCTTGATTTCCTTTTTCTTCTTCATTCAGGCGCAGTACACCGAACTGAGCAGCTGTAGTCTTCACAGTCCAGCCAAGAGAAAGAGAGCCTCACCGTAGACACTAGAATGGGAAACGTCGGTCTCCTGAGAACATTCTGTGTGAAGAACCTTTGAAGGTGCTTGGATACGACGGCCAGGGGATGATTTGAACATTGTGTTTATTTTACAAATCATCCCCATCAGATGGTCCGGTCTTCACTGCTGGGTCGTGCTGAAGCACCTTGGTTAATGACACAGACACGTATTAAACACTCCAGGTGTGCTCTGTTGCATTGAGTGCTGAAGAAATGTAACTTGATAAACTGAATTGTAAAAATATAGAATACACCACATTGGGCCTTAAATATGCATCTATAGATGCAATGCCTGAGCGACACATCGTGAACAGTATCAGTGCAATACAATGTAATGCTTTAATTTGCTATTTTATATTTCTTTATTATTTTTTTTTGTCTTGTCTTAGACTTGTAAAATATGTTTTAAAGAGTTTTTAAAGTCTCATTCTATATGAGCCACATTTTTTTTTTTGAATGTACATATACAGATAACTGAACTTATATTGTAACAAAATGTTCTTTTGAACTTTTTTGTATTATGTAAACACATTGTTTTAATTTATTTTTAATCTTTTATTTACATCTTAATTATTGCATGGAAAAACTTGCTTAAAATGAGTACATTGAAAGTGCCTTTGACAAACTCTAGTTGTGCATACTGATTTTTAGTGCAATATAAGGTTCTCGATGTTGTGGTACAGTAATTGAACATAAAAATGCCTGCAAGTACACTTCTGTTTGTATCTATTTGTATCTTCTAGTCTTTTCTTCTGCTCAGGTGGATATTTTATGTGGTATATCACAGATGTTGTTGAACAATTATTTTGGTATCTCTTTTATAGCATTCTATATTGACAATATTTCATTTAACAGTAAACATTTTCTGTGTAGCCTCATGAGTTTTTATAGATCTTATAGAATAATAAGCACAATGGGCTAAATGTTAAATTAATTAATGCAGATATGTAAGGAAGAATGTGGATGAAGCAATATAACCTTTAAATTCCTTAAAAATGTGTTATTTGAGAATAATCAGGCACATAGTGGCAGTTTTGTTTTGTTACAATGCCAATACGATCTGTGGTTTTACACCGCCAAATTATTACACCCCCCCCCCCCCCACCGTTGAAGTCAGTACCTGATTGCCTAATCCCAACCCCGCCCCTAATCCTACCCCTCCCCCACAATTAATCCTAAACCTACCAATACTAAAAAACCCTCTTAACCATATTTTATTAATAACCATATATGTGTGTTAGTGCATATATGAATTATGGTAACCCTAAAATACATTTTTGTAAAAAAATAATAATAATAATAAAAAAATAATACAATATCTTTTTTTTAATTATTCAAAATAGTTTGAAACCCCCTGTCTTAAAATAAAAAAATAAAAAAAGGGAATTTTAAAGCATCTCAAGTTTTTGAAATGTAGTTTATTTACTTACCAATAGGGGGTGGCACAACACACTATAAAACTCCAGCCGATGACAAATCTTATTGAAAATATTCAGTTTAACATCCTTAAACAAAAAAGTAGATTGTGAGTGCATGAGGCACAAAATTAGTAATATAGTCTTAATTTACCCTGCATTACAAACCAAACTCATGAAATGTCTCTAGTAGAAACGCACATCAAACTGATAATGGGTTTTATTCACGAGGAAATTAGAAGGGCGTGGCTTAGCGGCCCGGGGGTTGTCTTCAATCTTCGATTAAATAATATTTTTTTCTATTTATACTATTTATTATGTATTTTCAATTCAAAGTGTTATAAATGTATCTCAGTCTCATTACGCATGTGTACATTATTATTTAGACCCGTTTCTGACGCAGTCCATAGACATTGATGTCACCTGATACCTGTTCATTTTTTCAGCGCTGGTCAAGATGGACCAATCATATTCGTTTGTGATTACAGAATAATGCGTTATTTCAATGGCAATTTCTTAGAGTTTACTGTAGCGGATTTCTGTTTGATTATCATGTGCTATTCCTTATAAATAGCAGATATAAATGATTCAACTCTTAGTTAACATACGCAAGTAGTAGGGGAAAAAACGACCCTAAGATTTCAATGCGTCCCAATGGTGGAGTCGGGTTTCTGGGCCACCACCTGGAAGAAGAAGGAGAAAAAACTGATAGGAAACCAGGAAAGTTTTTAGTCATCATTTACCTCTCACTGGTTAAAGATCACGGTTAATATGTTTCCTCAAAGAGTGTCGTAGTTTGTACCCTCGTGCGTCCAGAAGGGAAACTACGGCGATAGACGTGTTTAGTTAGAGGTAAGTGGGTTATTTCATGTGTACTTGGAGAAATATGAGGCGTGTGAATGTGCTTGACAGCTTTTGTTTAGTTGTACTTTATGGATATATACACCTGACGTGTCATATTATAGACGTACTATTAACACACCAAACAACAAAACAGGGTTTATGTTCTCATGGTTAAGGCGAGGCTTATTTTATATAAGGAAATTAAATTTGACTTAATTTCGTTAGGATGTCAACAGGTGCACAAACCGACCTTTCCAACATCATCTCATTAGCAAGCAAGACGTTTTTCTTTCTGTTTTATTCTTATTTTTTCTTAATTTAGTTTTTAATGCCCTTTAATAACAGCAATATATAAAACTTTGGCTGGAATTTGAGTCAGTTAGCTTATTTGCGTATTTGTTTGATATATCCACTGAGTGTGCTACTTCAGAATTTTAACCCGAAAATGTAGGCTACTCGATTTAAAGCCATCCTACGTGTATAATGACTTACTCAATCCAAACTCAATTGTAGTTCTATTAAAAAGTAGCGTTTTAATGGGAGTGAATGGTACCATTAAAAAAAAAAAAAAAAAAATAGGGATGCAACGATACATCATTATATCAAGACATCGCGATTTAAAATCTCACGATAAATCGTTGATGTTTACGAGTTATTTTGATCCAAGTCTCAGCTACTGTCTGTATAATCAGTAATCACCCAGACATGTAAATTCTATCATGTACTCACCCTCATGTCAAACTTATGAAATGTCGTTCAACTTACAAACAAAAATGAAATTGTCATTTAAATTGTTTTTTTTTTTTTTCATTTTTCATTTTTTGTTGAATGCGTAATATAAGTTCTACCCCAGATAGCACAAGTCTATTTGATGTAATGTTTACATCTGGAAGACGTATTGTTAAGAGTGTTTGCTCAATATCATCTATAGGACGTTTCCTGTCAGATGTCAAATAGACGTTTAGAAGATGTCTTTAAGATGTAATGATTTATAATGCACGTTAAACTGACATCTTCTAAACGTCTATTTGACATCTGACAGGAAACGTCCTATAGATGTATTGCAGATGAGCAAACACTCTTAAAAATACGTCTTCCAGATGTAAACATTATATCAAATAGACTTGTGCTATCTGGGACATTTCATCAGTATTTTTATCTTTACCATTTTTAAATCCATATAGAAGCTTTCAGTGTAACACAAAAATATCTCCCTATTTAAAGTACTATATTTATTTATTTATTCAGCTTATTGTAATATCAGAGTTATTGCTTTAATTTGAGCTTAAAATGTCACATTCAAGTCAAACAGTTAATGCGCTTAACATTAAATCTTCTAGCCTACTTAAGGATTATTGTAGTTTCTCAATCTCTAGTGGATTGGCCAATTGATCATTTGTATCAGTTAGTTGCATTTATTGATTCCTGGCATGGTTTCCTCTTTCAGTTTTTACAATGTGACATCAGTAGGCTAAGGCATTACAGGTAAATACTGAACCATAAAAAGGGTGACCTTTCCCTCAGGGAGTAAAGCAGCAGGAACAAACCGCAATAACAGCAGGTTTGGAGAGCATCAGCTAAGAGAACATTAACCAGACAGGCATCAGACGGCACCGCGAACAGCAGTTACTCAAGTGCTCTTGGAAACAGACACCTGAGCCACAGCCTCCTCATCCTCCCCCACCCATGACATCACACGCCTCTTATCGGCTGCCAAACACAAAGCCGCATTTAGCTCGCGGTAATCAGCGCTGTGACCTAACCTGCCATGCACTGGAGATGCATGAAGATTCAGGTGTGCTTTTTGGTTCGTTCGATTCACGTAATATTCAGAAATAATGGATCTGTGAGCTGCGCTGGATTCAGCGTGGAGTTCTTAAGACCTGAGGTAAGATGTCATGCAAGGAGTTTGTTAAAATGTGAGGAACTAAAAGAGAAATGCATATAAAATATATGTATTAAAAACCTGTGGCATGAGTTCTGAGCAAATTGAGCTGTGTGACTGGCAGCAGACACATAGTTTTAGATTATTTTTTTTCAGAAGTTTAAGGTTTTAACAGATTTTTAAAGTTACGTCACACTGTCATAGGTCACACAAAGTGCAAAGCGTTACCTATAAGATGGGCTGGAACTACTTTCAAAAGTTTGGGGTCATTTAGACATTTTAATATTGATTTTCTATGCTTCACCAATTAAGAATTTATTTGAAAATATTGTGGTCTACTTGATGCTATTATAAAAGGTAATTTATCCCTCTGATAGCAATCGGCAGCATTACTTCAGCCTTCAGTGTCACATGAACCTTCAGAAATCACTCAAATATGCTGATTTGCTGCTTGAGAAACACTTGAGGTTCCTTGTTTCATTGAAAATTCAAAAGAACAGCATTTTTAAAAATGTAATACAATGAACGGTCACTTTGATCAATCAATGCATCATTGCTGAATTAAATTATACATTTTCTTTAAGGGATAGTTCACCCAAAATTGATTATTTTGTTACCATTGACTCACCCTCATGTCGTTCTAAACCCGTAAACCCTTTCGTTCATCCTCGGAAAACAAATGAAGATATTTGGATGAAATCTGTGAGCTTTCTGACCCTCTATTGACAGCTATGCAACTACCACTTTGATGCTTTAAAAATTTCGTAGACTAATCCATATAAATTGAGCAGTTTAGTGAAAAAAAAATTATATGAGGAACAGATTGAATTTAAGCTTTTATTCACATATAAACATTCATTCATCAATTCATACATCAGTTGTGGAAAATGGAATCAAGGATGTTCTCTTAATGTGCGAGAACCAATGAGGTTCATTCTTCGGTGTTACCCATCACGTTTGAGCTTCACAAGAACCAATGAGGTTCATTCTCCCATGTTACCCATCACATTTGAGCTTCACAAGAACCAATGAGGTTCATTCTCCCATGTTACCCATCACATTTGAGCTTTACAAGAACCAATGAGGTTCATTCTCATGTTACCCATCACGTTTGAGCTTTACAAGAACCAATGAGGTTCATTCTCCGATATTACCCATCACGTTTGAGCTTCACAAGAACCAATGAGGTTCATTCTCCAATGTTACCCATCACATTTGAGCTTTACAAGAACCAATGAGGTTCATTCTCATGTTACCCATCACGTTTGAGCTTCACAAGAACCAATGAGGTTCATTCTCCCATGTTACCCATCACATTTGAGCTTTACAAGAACCAATGAGGTTCATTCTCCGATGTTACCCATCACGTTTGAGCTTCACAAGAACCAATGAGGTTCATTCTCCAATGTTACCCATCACGTTTGAGCTTCACAAGAACCAATGAGGTTCATTCTCCCATGTTACCCATCACATTTGAGCTTCACAAGAACCAATGAGGTTCATTCTCCCATGTTACCCATCACGTTTGAGCTTCACAAGAACCAATGAGGTTCATTCTCCCATGTTACCCATCACGTTTGAGCTTCACAAGAACCAATGAGGTTCATTCTCATGTTACCCATCACGTTTGAGCTTCACAAGAACCAATGAGGTTCATTCTCCCATGTTACCCATCACATTTGAGCTTTACAAGAACCAATGAGGTTCATTCTCATGTTACCCATCACGTTTGAGCTTCACAAGAACCAATGAGGTTCATTCTCATGTTACCCATCACGTTTGAGCTTCACAAGAACCAATGAGGTTCATTCTCCCATGTTACCCATCACATTTGAGCTTTACAAGAACCAATGAGGTTCATTCTCCGATGTTACCCATCACGTTTGAGCTTCACAAGAACCAATGAGGTTCATTCTCCCATGTTACCCATCACATTTGAGCTTTGCAAGAACCAATGAGGTTCATTCTCCGATGTTACCCATCACGTTTGAGCTTCACAAGAACCAATGAGGTTCATTCTCCAATGTTACCCATCACGTTTGAGCTTCACAAGAACCAATGAGGTTCATTCTCCCATGTTACCCATCACATTTGAGCTTCACAAGAACCAATGAGGTTAATTCTCCCATGTTACCCATCACGTTTGAGCTTCACAAGAACCAATGAGGTTCATTCTCCCATGTTACCCATCACGTTTGAGCTTCACAAGAACCAATGAGGTTCATTCTCCCATGTTACCCATCACGTTTGAGCTTCACAAGAACCAATGAGGTTCATTCTCCCATGTTACCCATCACATTTGAGCTTTACAAGAACCAATGAGGTTCATTCTCATGTTACCCATCACGTTTGAGCTTCACAAGAACCAATGAGGTTCATTCTCATGTTACCCATCACGTTTGAGCTTCACAAGAACCAATGAGGTTCATTCTCATGTTACCCATCACATTTGAGCTTTACAAGAACCAATGAGGTTCATTCTCCGATATTACCCATCACGTTTGAGCTTCACAAGAACCAATGAGGTTCATTCTCCAATGTTACCCATCACGTTTGAGCTTCACAAGAACCAATGAGGTTCATTCTCATGTTACCCATCACGTTTGAGCTTCACAAGAACCAATGAGGTTCATTCTCCCATGTTACCCATCACGTTTGAGCTTCACAAGAACCAATGAGGTTCATTCTCCCATGTTACCCATCACATTTGAGCTTTACAAGAACCAATGAGGTTCATTCTCATGTTACCCATCACGTTTGAGCTTCACAAGAACCAATGAGGTTCATTCTCCGATGTTACGCAGCACGTTTGAGCTTCACAAGAACCAATGAGGTTAATTCTCCCATGTTACCCATCACATTTGAGCTTCACAAGAACCAATGAGGTTCATTCTCATGTTACCCATCACGTTTGAGCTTCACAAGAACCAATGAGGTTCATTCTCCGATGCTACCCATCACGTTTGAGCTTCACAAGAACCAATGAGGTTCATTCTCCCGTGTTACCCATCACATTTGAGCTTTACAAGAACCAATGAGGTTCATTCTCATGTTACCCATCACATTTGAGCTTCCGCAAGAACCAATGAGGTTCATTCTTGTGTTACGCAGCACGTTTGAGCTT